TATTAGTTCAGAGACGCTTTCCCTCGTATAACCATTTCTTGATATCCAAAAATGCATTTTGTTTAAAAACAAAATTTCAAATTTCATGACACATCTCCAACAAAGTGGGATACCTTTTGCTAGTTTGTAAAATACTTTTATACTGTCTAAATACAGCTGATCGTGGCATTTGTGGCTTTATATGCCTCTGCACGATGTCCATTTTCTTTTCATGTAACAACTTAAAACCAGTGCCTTTAATCGATGCAGGTGAAATTTTAGGATAATAAATAGAGTATGAACAATGGAGAACGGTATCGGGTGTGGGTGGGTGTGGAAGATGGAGCACACAATCCAGTGATTAACGTCATGAGCATCGATCTATGCACTGGGTGAGGTGAAGTGAAATTGGGTTTAACGTCGTGCTTGAGAATATTTCGCAGCATGGTATCTCAGTAGGCTAGCACTATAAAACCAGCTTCAATCTGGGCTAGTACAAGCAGCCGCACATACACATACACATACACATACACACGCATGCACGTCGTCATATGAGCGAAATATTCTCAAGTGCGACGTAAAACCCAATTTCACCTCACCTAGCTGACTTGGTTGATGAATGTCATCAGCTCATTGGATAATTGCGTAGATCGATGCTTATATTATCATTTACTGGAATAGTGTCTGGTACAGATTCAGTTTTATTTTTTTAGCTTGTAGATGCAATATTGATGGCATTAAGCATCAAATGAGAAACCAGTTCCAAGTAATCAACAAAATAACGAATACACAGTAGCGACTATTTTAAAGTAACTTGTGGATAATTCCTTAAATGTGATAGATAGGAGATAAACATACTGTGTTTGAAAATAATAGGTATATAACGAAATTGTAATGGCTCTAAATTTGATTTAACACCGAACACGTAGCGTAAATAGAAAATTTAGAGCTATAATTTCGTTATATACCTCTGATTGTCCAACACATTATTTGTATTTCCATTCTACCATAACCGCGTAAATAAGATTTTAAAAAGATACATACTCTGTTGGAAAATCAGAGGTATATAACATGGTTAATTAACCGCACATATAACATGGTTATATACCTCTGAATGACTTTCATTAACCAATGACAATCCAGTATTTGCTTCAGTCATGGTAGAAAACAGATATAGTACCTTATCTTAACACATGAATTGTTTTATAGAATAGGATCTGCTTATACAATATGGGAGGAAGCAGAGGGCAAGAACAAGCCCCAACACCTAAAATGGGACAGTAAGAAACGGTTCTTAATGACCTGACCTGTTAAACCCAACTTGCTTACTCCTGAAATGCCCGACTTTTGTCCTATGATCCTGCAAAACCCGTCAAATAATCAGTTTGCCCTATCCTTTGTAATGAAAGTTGAACGCTGAGTATTTCATATATTTAAGCAACAAAACCATTTCCATTATCGAAAAAGGTCTCTACTTAAAGTGTCCATAGCATGATCCCAACTATCCCGTAAATGTGTTTATGACACACTATGTGTTAGTGATAGTACCAGTGGTTGTCACAAACGTTAATGTGACCCTGACAAAGATGGATCAGTAAGGACTGATTACTTTCTCCATGATGTGGATGACTTCTGACCTTACCGTGAAGTTGTTTTCACACTTAAGTACTGTCGGAAATAGAAAAAAACTTTTGTTAGGCTGTTACTCTGTATCCCTAAAATTTACACAACTGCAAGTAGCATATGTTGACATAACCGACATCAGGAGAACTTTCAGTCACACAAAAACAAGGAGTTATTGTATGCATTCCAAAAGGGGATAAACCTAAACGTTTCTTGACTAACTGGAGGCTTATATCACTTTTGAATGTCTCATAAATTGGCCACTTCATGTATAGCAAACAGAAATAAAAGCATCAAAACTTGCCCATCATCATTAATGAAGATCAGACTGGTTTCATGGTAGGTCGACATATTGGCGATAACATTCGTTTGATTTATGATGCCATCTCATATACGGAAAAACAAAAAAAATCCTGGTATGCTACTGCTCATTGACTTTGAAAAGGCATTCAACTCTGTTGCCTGGTCATTTATAGACAAGTGTCTTACTTTTGGGGGTTTTGGAGAAAACATGAGAAAGTTAATTTCTGTCTTCTATACAAACCTAAAGAGTTGCATGTCTATTAATGGTCAAATGTCATCATTGTTTAATGTTCAGCGCGGCTGCCGGCAAGGAGACCCCTTGTCACCTTACATATTCATCTTGTGTGCAGAGGTGCTAGCCAATATGATACGTAAGAGGTATCTAGATAATCTTGAGTATTTATTGAGTCAGTACGCCGACGATACTGAATTGTTACTTGATGGACTTTGATTTTTTTTGCAGACATACCTGCGCTCAGAAGAAACTATAATAAAACGCAAGTGGTCTGGATAGGCTCGAAGAAAGGTTGTAAGCTGAAATTTATGCATAAACGTCCCATTATTTGGAATCCAGAAGTCTTTAGAATTTTGGGGATAAAATTTTGTACCAAATTGGAGAACATGACTCGGCTGAATTTTAAGGACACAATATATGAACTAAAACAGATCGTCAAGAGATGGATGAAAAGGATTGTTACCCAAATTGGAAGGGTTGCAATTATCAAGTCACTACTCGTGTCTAAGCTCAATTATTTGTTACTATCATTGCCTGACCTCTGTTCTGACTTTCTTGTGTCACTTAATAATATGTTCTTTATTTTTGTATGGTGTGGTAAAACAGATAAAGTAAAGCGACGCAAGGCGTGTCAGCCAGTGAAACAGGGAGGACTGGGAATGGTTAATATATTCTTACATGTCAAATCTCTTAAAACTATTTGGCTAAGGATGCTTGTGACAACAGATAATCCAAAGTGGAAGCTCTTGTTTAAGTCTGCGTATCCTCACATGTGTAACATAGATGAATTTGCTGCCGCCTATTTCGAGAACGACAATGTATTTTTGAAAAATTGTTTTCAGTCACTTATCGACTTTGATAAGAAAATCATGCCTCATCTGTGTAGTAGCTTTCTGACTGAAACTAGTTTTCATAATCCTAACATTAAAGTTAACAAGGAGCCACTTTTTTGGAAACATTGGTACCAAAAGGGTATAACGCAGATCACAGATTTAGTGGATGAAAATAAAGAGTTTTGGGACTTATGAAGAATTCAGATAAATATATCTTATTCGTTCATCATTCTGGAAATTTATTGTGTAATAAACAGCATTAAACATTATCTTGCAACTCTTATGTTAACCAAAAGTACATCAGACTGTGTCGAAGAACATCGCTGTACTATACAAAAGCTTTGCAGTGTTAGTTCAGGTTCTAAACATATTTATTTTACCCTTGTAGCAGCAGAAAAGAACAAAAGGTCAGGAAAATGGGAACTAAAATTTGGTCAGCTTGCCTGGAATGAGATTTGTGCTAAGGTGTTTAGTACAACTCAAGAAGTAAAACTGCCCTGGTTTCAATATAGACATGTGCACAATATACTTACAACAAATTCCTCTTTATTAAATCTAAAATATGTTCAGAATGATCTTTGTTCTTTTTGTCAGAGACAAACAGAAAACATCGTCCATTTATTTGGGGAATGTGATGTTACTTAGAACATTTGGGATCAATTTCTGAAATGGATAGACCAGTGTGGTCATGTATGCAATATGCAGCTCAGTGCCGAATTTATACTATTTGGAGTTCAAGAAAACATAATAACACACAAGGTTTTGATTTAATTTTGCTTTTCGCAAAAATTCTTTATTTACAAATGCAAATTTCAAAATTCCAAAACATATTTTTAGCAGATTTGACAAGGAAATGAACATTAGATACAAAATAGAAAAGGACATAGATTTTAGAAACAGTGATCAACATAAGGTCTATCAGGCTTGGATATTATATCATGTACTTTTTGCATCATTGGAGCAGCAATAAGCAAGACCATTAAATATACATATATTTAATATGTGATACGAGGCCAGCAGATTCCTATCGTGTTGTGTGTGAATGTAGGTGTGTAAGAAGGTGAATGAGTGGTTGTCCTAATGGAGGAAACCTTCTTCCTCTGTACATCCTTTAATTAAAGTTTAAACACCCACAAAATACACTAATATATGTATTGCATACTGGAACTCAAATTACCCTGGGTGTGAGCTACCCCATTTGTAACAGGGAAGGAGGAAATAAAAAATGTAAAACAAAAAAGGAAATACCGGTAACCCACATCGGCGTAACTGGGCTTTCGGTGGGATGTGTAATAGGATATCCAGAAATGCATGTTTACTCGTAAAATCGGACAAAACTTAGAAAAAATATGAATAGCGGCTGAAAACAAAAGATCAGACTATAGCTGGCAATTAGGTCGCTCAGCCAGGTATGACGACGGATCGTCGACTCACCTGGCATGAAATGCATGTGCTGCCTACAGGCACAAAGGGTCATCTCAAAGATATTTTACGTTTTTTTCATATGTATTCATTGGATATGTCTCATCTATTGATTATCATCTTATGTTTCTTTCATAACGTTTATGTTGAGATATGTAAAAGAACATGATACCCATAGAAAAGCTTAAATCAACTATCGTATTAAATGACTCAAAATATATAGGTAGCAAGACCACCCCACCAAGATCGACAGGACTGGATATTGTTTGTTATTTGTTAATACATGCCATTTATTTCCCCTAGTTTAATTCCCCTAATGGATTATCTTATCTTAGCTGATATATCTCTATACCCCAGTATGACCCCAACCAGACGAACCCTCCTTCCTGTTTCTTTTTATAGTGATATTGAGGCTCCATGGTAGCTACATCCTTAATAGTTTCAGTATTAAAGTTAGTAATTTTTACGTCAGCTATCATTTATAATGAAGCTAGGTCTAGTTTCAAAATAGGCATTTAAAAAGTGTCCTTTGAAATACAATATCATCGCACACTTATTTGCAGATATTCCACACTTTCACACATTAACTTCCTAAATTATAGATATAAATGTGAAAAAACAGTTTATTGCTATTTCCGACAGTACTTAATATCTATTTATGTCCAGTTCACCAAAGGCTTGTGAATTGTGATTGTCGAGCAAAGGCTGATTTGTCTCATTAGCCTCAAAAGAGGCAGCAGCATCTTCGTCTGTGGACGAAAGAGGCATCTTTTGTTTCTTCTGCTCAGGATCAAAGTCGTCTGCTGACCTTGTGGTTATTCCAGACAGTGAAGATCCCAATAGGTTCATCAGTAAAGAGTCATCTGAAACAGTAGTTGTCATGAAGTAAGAGGTGAGGTGAAATTGGGTTTAACGTCGTGATGGAGAATATTTTGCTCATATGACGACATGCATGCGAGTGTAAGACTGAAGCTGGTTTTATAGTGCTAGCCCACTGAGATACCATGCCACAGTGAAGCATGAATACCCCACTCAGACACATTATACTGACTCCGTGCCGACCAGTCCTTGTTGTACCCATTAATGCCGAGCGCCAGGCAGGGACCTCATGAAGTAAGAAACTTTTTTCAGTCAAAACATTTAGTTCATGCAGGGTCAATGATGTGATGTCTTACTTCCTTCCCACAACTAAATACACTTTAGACAAGACTGTTCTGCTTAAGTTTTGTTTGTTTGCTTGTTGTTTAATGCTCAGCAATATTCCAGCTATATGGCAGTGGTCTGTACATACAGTCCAGACAATCCAGTGACTGACGTCATGAACATCAATCGACGCCATTGGAGTACATGATATGCATCATCCAAGTCGGCAAGCCATTTATGACAAGCATGGATGATCTAACCCAGATCCTCGCATTTCTGCTACAGACAAAATTTCGGTAGACATATGGTATAAAATAACCTATGACATCCAATCAGTGTGACCTAAATAAGAAATTATTTGAAATTAACAATTAACTCTATTCAATACTGGGGCAGCTTAATTTAAAGATGTACATGGGGAGCACGGGTGTGTAAAGAAGGTAACTAGTGGGTGGCAGAACTGCATCCTTAGAAAAGATATGGCTCAGATTAATATATCTAATCCGAGTGTTTCCGGTGGGCTGGTTGTATGGATCAGGCAAAGACTGATCCATCTCAATAGCTTCATGAGAGACAGCCCAATCTTGTCTGTGGATCAAAGAGCCATCTATTGTTCCATCTGCTCAGGATCAAAGATGGCTGCCAGCTGGACGTCTGCTGACCCTGTATGGAACTAGGTTTACCTCCATAAAGCATTTCAATGATTATTCTTACCAGCAGTGTCAGCATCATGCCTAGGGACGTCTTGTCCATGTTGGGGGGCCTGATCATCTCGAGCAAGGCCCTGGTTGAGTACTCTGATTGACTACAGTTGGGGCTTTGTCTTGAAGTGCTGGAACTCGATGTGCCTATGTTAGGATCTCCAGATTCGCCATTGGTTCCACTTCGGTCCAGTGAGTAGTTCCATGTAGTTTCAACAGAAAGCTCTCCTCCACCATTACTTGAGATGGTTCCATCTGTCCGAGCATCTGTTGAGTGAGCATCTGTGGAGTGACCAACAAATCCATTCGGCTGACCACCTGTGGCTGTTTGATAACCTCCATTCGGATGCTGATGCCCTGTTGAGATGTTGGATTGACCACCAATTGTTCCATTTGGACAACTGCCATCGGCTGCATTGTGGCGACAGTGATTGGTTCCATTGGGTAGACGGTCTGCAATGTTCAACAGAAAACTGAATAATTTTGTATTCTGTAGGGTAGGAAGGGGGAGGTGGGATTTTGGTCTGAAAACTCTCAGTGGGGCAACAATTTTAAACTGCAGAGTGGGCAAGTGCAGTATCAGCTGGAACCAGTACGAGAAGTAACACATGATTGCACCGAACACATATCAAAATAATTCAATAATTCTTAAGGCCATGTGAAACCCCATTTTTCTCACCACCATTCAAAGGTTTTACTCTTGACAACAGAGTGTGAATCCATTTATGTAATACAGGGCTCCAGATAACTTTCGGGGGTGCGAGTGTACTTACACATCATATTGCAAGTGGAGGTGTACTGAGAATTTTGAAGGAGTACTGACATGTTTTTGTGTGAGCGAGTTGGTGATGTGGTTTGTCTGGACGATTCATCCATCACTATTTCCAACCATGTATTTGTATTTGAAGACGTGTGAGAAATAACTGAGCGACCGTGTGATGCGCGAAATGTCAGGTCAGACTGGATATAAATAGGAACAGTGTAGTTTTTAGCCAATCGAAAAATAGTGACGCATATCGTTGCATGGCAACACAAGTGATTCCTACTGTCGGGGTTTCCTCATGTGTCAAATCGTGTTTCGCAAACGAAACTTGACAAGTATTTATCCGAAATAGATTTCCATTTGCACGATACCATGGAAATTAAATGTTAGACGTACAAAGGTATTTACGTGCATACACGATACACTTGAAATCTTATATAGACAGAGGGATTGTGACTCTTCAAGTTACAGTTTTGAGAAGGGCAAAGGCAAGCACTACTAGTAACATACCTTACCATAGACTTAGACAGTCATAGCGCGCTAAGGTTACATTATGCAAGGGCACTATGACCGACACAACTTGACTGACACAACTTGACAGAGGCAACAGAAGCATAGGGGTTAACGTTTTGGCTTGGTGCACAAGGTCCCAGAAGGTTACAATGTTGTCAGTCCTAATCTTGGCGTCCCTTTACATTTCAAGAATATTTTCAAAATGTAAACAAAAATCATTATTCTGTTTGTGGCGTTGGGGTAGCCTGGTGGTTAAAGCATTCGCTCATCACGCCTAAGACCCGGGTTCGATTCCCCACATAGGCAAACTGTGTGAAGCCATTTCCTGTGTCCCCCGCCGTGATATTGCTGGAATATTGCTAAAAGCGGCGTAAAGCTAAACTCACTCACTCACTCACTCATTATTCTGTTCATATCACTCATTTTCTGAATTTGAACTAACACCTGAGCACCAAGATAAACATATATCATCTACCATCACTGCAAGGCAGAGGAGGGTGGTCTCAAGAAGCGAACAGCATTAGCTAGTATTTTAAAGAGATATGTTTGAAAGCCTGTTCTTTGTGAGCAAGGTTACCATGGTAACTGAAAACAATTTACCTGAATTGTTTGAATCCTGAATTGCCTGTCCACAGCATGCAATATTTATTTTTCCTAAATGTAAGGCAAATATTAAAAATTAAGTTATGAAAAAGTATAATATCTTCAAAATGAATATTATAAAAAAAGAATAAACTATTAAAAATGATTATCCTTTCTATATATATATATATATTGAAGGGATGAAGAAACAAGGCAAATACAAGTGAAGAGCAAAACTTACCACTTTTAATACAACCAATAACAACGACAACGATGATGGCCACAACTGCGATCACTACAACCACCACGATAGGGACTGTATGGTTGGAGCTGTCAAAGTAAGGTATCACAAATTAAAAGTTATTGTCATATTGTAATAATAACTGACAGGTCATTGTAACATGAGGTTGGTGAATTGGTCCCACATGTTTATGCCCTAGGGCGGGGGGGGTAGCCTAGTGGTTCAGCATTCACTTGTCACATCGAAGCCCTGGGTTCGATTCCCCACATGGGTACAATGTGTGAAGCCTATTTCTGGTGTCCCCGCCGTGATATTGCTGGCATTTTGCTAAAAGCAGTGTAAAACTAAACTCCCTCTCTCTCACACTCACTCACTCACTCACTATTTATGCATTTGTTATAGTGACTAATTCAGGACAGCCATCGTCCAAATATTTAAAAAGTCCAAAACTATGTACCCAAGACATGTGAGACTTTATTGTAAGCTGTTTTTAAACTTGACATCCTTATCACTACCCATTAATTGATTGTCAGCCCATTAATTATTGTATAAGACATTTATAACCTCCATTGGTAATCTCCCTTGGCCATGTCTGCCATCACATCAACTGGTCAAGGAAGTGCTATTGTTTTTTCTGTCTGTCCATTGATGAGTCGTCGCCTGACCATTGTTGTCAAAAACTGTATATATACTTAGTATGCTCACATCTAGAGAGTGAAGGAGTACGAGTTCGGTATTCCGACTGTCTGCTTTGGGACGACCACGAGCAGGATAATGCCCCTCATTGGAAACGCCCTGGAGTTGAGCAGGTACCCCGCTCACCTTAGGTATGTCTTGTGTATTTGTTTGTCATGTACTAAAGACGTTTGAACTCAACTATCGGTATGCCTTCGTCTTCATCAATGCACACTTCATCTTAATTATGAGCTAATTCCCCAGTTGACGTATAACCAAGCGTTGACACATTAATGGAAATAATCACTGTCCTCCCAAGCTTGGAATAATTTTAGATGATCCTCCCGAAGTCTTTGTTCATCTACTGACAATAGTCTCTCAAAAGTCAATACGCAAAAGCTTTGTATTAGAAGTCCAATTGTTTCATGACTAACCAGAATATGTCTTTTTTATAAGACTTTCTAGAGAGTGACATATTTTATTGATTTACTTATTCCCTCTGACCCATTCATAATAAATAAAATCAATTTAATTTTACATTCGAGACCCACTCGTGTTATTCCGGGACTAGCCGAATAGCGACTCGTGCCCCTCTGGAAGGATTTCATATTGGCGCATGAACATCAGAACTACTTTAAACAAGGACGATAACTCTATGCCTGATTGATACCAATGTTTCTTAACATCACCGAAGTATATGTACATTGCTAGGTTGTTGTTCTGGGGTTTTTTTCTTATCTATTTTAAAGAATTAAACCTCTTTGATACAACTAAAAGAAGGAGAAAAACATATTTGTGAAAGACAATCTAATGCAATTATTACCAGATGTTCACCTTATATTTCCAATTTTCTAAATAAGGTTTAATAATCACGAATGGGAATTGTTTTATTGAATATTTTTTCAGCTACATGTACATTAAATCCCAAAGCAGATACTCAAAAATGACTTTGAAATATTTCTCAAACTGAACATTCGTGTAACCTTGCTGTCACACTCCAGGTGGAATTTCAAATGAATTCGCTGTCAGACTAAAATATCCCCAGAGCTATGAAAGATAAGCCCAATGTTAAAGATTAAGGTTGATTAGTTACATACAAATACGATATTATTGTTTTGAAACTCGTAGCGATTATAATTGCAGTTCCTAAAATTGGTCGAAGCGCACATACAATCTCCATAACAAGCCCGCAAGCTCGTCAGAAATACACTCAGTTGGACCCATGAGAGCCTTTATGTCAGCTAACGCACGTGCGTGTATTTGAATCTCTTACCGTCAGTCACATGATTCTTATTAAAAACTTCATAATAGCCAGCAAATTCCTTTTAACACGTTCTTTATACATTCAATATGACGATATATATTTTCCATGATTCTTTAAACAATGACATAATGCCATAAACGATTTAAGTACTCGGGATTATATTTATCAAAGCACCGCGCACATTTACACGCGTTCTGATTGGTTTGTCGTATTTTCGCACATAACAAGTATCGAGTGGGGGACGAGTCTTCTTGGAGGTTACGGAAAGGGGCGAGTTGTGACGAATGTTAATTTTAGTGTGGGGGCAACCTGTATCACTGTGAGATACATAATGACATGATGCACACTTATAGTATTTAAGGAGTTACCAAGAAATAACTAGAAATAATCAATATAAGATGAATGTATTTCGTAAAATGCAGTCATTCCAAATGCCCATTGCGTTGATTGATGCTCATGCTGTTGATCACTGCCATATAGTGCTGAGTGCAGCATTAAACAACAAATAAACAACAACAAATCATTCCAAATTACATTACATTAAAAACAGTATACTACAATTCATTTCAAAGCCCAAATTATATGTCCGTCTGAGGTTTGAACTTGTATTTGGAAGCCAAGGACACAAGTAAAGTTACATTGGTACGCCCAACTAGATTCGTACTCATACACCCACAAAACACAGTAAATACACTTATATATTTTGTGACAATGGTTTATTATCATAATTATATACACCAAACAATAACACCTAACATTTACATGTTTCCCTGGTAACATTTTACCTTCACCGTGCAATCAGAAAACCAGGTGCAAAAGCATTTGTGACCAACTCGTGTTATTCCGGGACAAGCCGAATAGCGACTCGTGCCCCTCTGGAAGGATTTCATATTGGCGCATGAACATCAGAACTACTTTAAACAAGAACGATAACTCTATCCCTTTTTGATTCCAATGTTTCTTAATATCACCGAAGCCCATGTACATTGTATTGCTAGGTTGCTGTTTTTCGGGGTTTTTTTACCTATTTATTTTAAAGAATTAAACCTCTTTGATACAACTAAAAGAAGGAGAAAAACATATTTGTTAAAGAACTAATCTAATGTAATTATTACCAGATGTTCACCTTATATTTCCAATTATGTTAAATTTCTAATCACAAATTGTTTTATTAAATATACAAATAAAATAATATTTTTCAGCTACATTAAATCCCAAAGCAGATACTCAAAAATGACTTTAAAATATTTCTCAAACTGAACATTCGTGTAACCTTGCTGTCACACACCTGGTGGAATTTTAAATGAATTCACTGAAAAAAATATGAATGACCAAAAAACATTGACATTCAGACTAAAATATCTCCAGAGCTGTGAAATATAAGCCAAATGTTAAAGATTAAGGTTGATTAGTTACATACAATATTACAAATGAAATATTATTGTTTTGAAACTCGTATCTATTATAATTACATTTCCTAAAATTGTTAGAAGCGCACATACAATCTCCATAACAAGCCCGCAAGATCATCAGAAATACACTCAGTTGGACCCATGTGAGCCTTTATGTCAACAAACGCACGTGCGTGTATTTGAATCTCTCACCGTCAATCGCATGATTCTTATTAAAAACTTAATAATAGGCAACATAATCCTGTTAGCTACGTTCTTTGTACTTTCAATATGACGATATATATTTTTCATGATATTTTAAACAATGACATAATGCCATAAACGATTTTAGTACTATTTTTACCAAAGCACCACAGTCATTCAAGCGTGTTCTGATTGGTTTGTCGTATTTTCGCACATAACAAGCATCAATAGGGGGACGAGTCTTCTTGGAGGTTATGGAAAGAGGCGAGTGGTGACGAATGGTGCAAAAGAACAACCAGTTTCTCTCAATGGTGGCACAAGAGGATAACTGTATTCACCAGGCAGCCTGTTGTGGCCTCTAGGCATGCTACACTTCAGGATCCTGGGTTTGAATCCTGTTTTTTTCCCTACATTTATTCTGAGTTTGTCTGCACCTGTAGGTTTCACCAAAGTGGCAATTGCCTAAACCTGCATCCCAATAAGCATTTCGTCCATATTAGGCTTACTTGCAGTATAACAGGGATCATTTTCAAACTAACTCACTCACTCACTCTGAGGATGCTATGAAAGGAACAAAAGGTTAATAGGGCATTACCAAATAATATAATAACAATGATAATATTTATAACGCGGCTTTTCCATGCTAGATATCCTGCTCAAAGCGCACAATCTGATCATTATTTTCCCGGACAACCCAAGGTGCCTGTTAGGCGCTAGAAGGTTAATAGTCTCACGACTTATTTCACCAGATACCCAGAGTGAACAGAGGCAACATTGAACAAACTCACTTGCCTAAGGTGAGACCACATATATCACATGTCCTTCGTTGTAGGGCAGGACAGAAGTCGTAGAAACAGGAGTCAAGCTGTCACACACGGTCACCCATCCATGGACTCTCTGTGCCAAACTTAACTTCAACTGACTGTGCCCTGAGCTCTATGCACAGGACCAAAGGATAACGCGTCAAAGTGGCCAGTCCTAAGGGGTCCAAGATAACATCAATATTATAAGTGATAAAGACAGCGTTAATTCCTATGAAGATACAACACCTCATGCACATTGTTTGTCTGCCTCCTGTCAGCTATCTGATGGAAGCCTGGTCCATACAATCCAGTGATGGATGCTGCACGTATCAATCCACAATTTCAGGGTAGAAGGACTATCAACCAAGTCCCCATGTCCACGCTATAGATCAGCACACTTCACAAAGTTTTAGATAACCTACCTTTCATCATCTTGGCTTGTCGGGATATCTTGTGTCGGATGTGATGTTTCGGTCACAGAATCCAAGAATGACTTCCATGTGCTGAAAGAGGGCAAACATCGGTTGGATGAAACGGTCAACACTAACTCGGTATAAGACGTTCCACCCTTCATCAGTTAGACCAGATGTTTTTTAAAACCTGGTTTACAATTAAGAAGATGCCATAACATAATATGTGAAAAGAAATTTTAAGAAAACCCCAATTCTTTTAAAAAAAAGTATTTACTGTTACTATAAACATGAAAAATATTAAGACTTGTCAACAACTGACAGCGGTTGAAGTGAGTGAATATGGCTTTACACTGCTTTCAGCAATATTCCAGCAATATCCTTGAAAATGGACAAAATGCTTCACACATTGTACTTATGTGAGGAAACAAAGCTATCTCTTCAGCAAGAAGAGCTCATACTTTCACGACCAAGCTACCCCAAAGTCCCAACAATGTTAGAAATATAGCAAAAAAACTAATAACACAAATTATGATAAATTGAATGAGGAAATCAAAACCCTTTTTTAATAATCAGTTATTTTGAAGTATTTTTGGGCATAGCGACATGATTGTTTTGGACATTTTTGTTGCATTGCATAGTTATTTGTAAGATATACCATTAAATTTTATCATGTAACCATTGGGTGGTAAGGCTTGCTGGCTCTATCCCAACTGCATAGATTGATGCTCATGGTGTCAATCATTGGATCTATCCCTTACTTAATATTAATGTATTAAATATATGATTGAAAAAATGCTGTATTTTAAAATAATTCAGAACAAAATAGAATATGAACCAAACTTTCCATCTTGCCAGAAGTATTTAGATCAAAGTACTTAATCGTGAAGCACAATGTTGCTGATATTGCTCTACATATCCAGCTCATGGATCTCTTGTATAGCACACTGTAGGCACCTTGATGATGGTTGTGTGGAAGGCTTCTTAGAGTCATCTGGGACACATCGACCAAACTTCGGATCAGCATTGTGGTACCCCTTGTCACACGGAACACAAGAACCTGCAGTGCACAATCAGAAAATATATATCCCGATACAACCTATATCAAACCTGTCTGGTTGTCAACAGGAGGTGAGGTGAAATTGGGTTTAACGTCACGCTGGAGAATATTTCGCTCATATGACGACGTGCATGCGTGTGTATGTGTATGTGCGCCTGCTTGTACTAGCCCAGACTGAAGCTGGTTTTATAGTGCTAAAGTACTGTCGGAAATGCTAGAAAAATGCTTTTTAGCCTTAATATCTTTATAAAGGTGATAAATATACTATGTTGTCAATATATCAACTCACCTATTGTCTACCTAATTTTTATTTCAATCGATTTAACATTGCCATGCATTTAAAGGGCAGTTTACAGGAGAGAATTTGGTACCAAAACAGCTTCAGTCTGGGCTAGTACAAGCAGTCGCACATACACATACACACGCATGCACGTCGTCATATGAGCGAAATATTCTCCAGCGTGACGTTAAACCCAATTTCACCTCAACTCACCTATTGTCTACCTAATTTTTATTTCAATCGATTTAACATTGCCATGCATTTAAAGGGCAGTTTACAGGAGAGAATTTGGTACCAAAACAGCAACTTAAGATTTTTTCAGAGTTTAACAGCAGAAATCTGAAATAGTCTTTACATTTATGCTAATATTCCAGGTGGTGTAAAAATATGAATTAACGTTTTTCCTAAACAAATGAATGTTGAATGTTTGTGTTACTTTACTTAATTATCGTTTTCTTTATTGAAGAAATATTAATATAAATGTTAAGTCTTGATAAATAAGTTTCCCGTCATGCATGCACATCTTTATCACAGCGTCCACTATGGCCAACGATTTGCAGTCGATTGTTGCAAAGGTTTATAGTTTTTTTCTGCTTAAAAAGACAGAGGTAAACCTTTCATTAGTTTAGAAAGGGTTAATTACAGAACTTGTAGAGCTGTTGGCATGTCTTACCAACAAGTTTACAATATTGTAAACAAATCAGACAAGACAGGGGCTGTCTCAAATGCAAAACCGGGACGTAAAACCATCCTTGACAACTTTGACAAGGGAGTGCTTAGACGGGCGGTCTATAAACTTTATGAGAAGGAAAATATATACTGAGTCAAAAAAGAAACTTCACAATATGTAATTTGAAAAATAATGAATAATTTTTCACTGATGATACATCTATGTATCCGAAATGGGATCCCTATCTTTCGACTCTAGAAAAACGTTAGCAAAACCCACTCAAACCCATCCATTCATTGTGCAAATGACGTTAGTGCCAAATCAGGTTTTGCACGTGCAGTCGATCACGTGATCTTTGCATCGAAGTTTTCTTCATATGCACGTGTTTGCATTGGCCTCAAGAATTGAAAAAACACTTTTAAACCACGGTTCTAATGGTACTTGAAATGCCACGATTGTCAAATGTGCAACGTGAACGTGCCGTTGGCATGTTGCAAGCGGGAAGATCAGTTAATGACGTCGCAAGAGCAATGGGGTGCAGCCGTCGTACTGTGTATGACTTGCGAGGTCATCTACAACAAACTGGCACCACTTCTGATCGCCCAAGGTCGGGTCGTCCACGTGTTACGTCACGAGCAGAAGACCGTCAAATCCTCCTACGTCACCTACATGACAGTTTTCGTCCGGCTACACAAACCAGGGCTGAGATGTTTAGAGGTCGACTGTCCTCACACACGGGGCCAATATTGGGCCAATATTGACGCCTTTTCATCAACGTCAACGTCTGCTGTGTGCCCAATGTCACCTCCGATGGACCCAGAGAGACTGGAATCGAGTCGTCTTTAGCGATGAATCCAGGTTTACCCTCAGATTCGCGGACGACAGGCATAGAGTCTGGAGACGACGTCGTGAACAGTATGCCCAATGTTGTGTACAGGAAGTCAACAGATTCGGGGGCGGAAGTTGAATGGTGTGGGGGTGCTGCTTACCATGACCAGGTGCTCACCCCTGAACTCGTTCCTTTCATGGCGGCTCATGGCCCATGTCTACAGTTCCAGCATGATAATGCTCGAACGCATACCGCGATGTTGACACGAAATATCCTTCAAAACGCTGGAATCAACGTCATGGACTGGCCATCGAGGTCCCCCGAGCTTAATCCAACAGAGCACGTTTTGGATGCACTTGGGAGAAGGCTTCGTGGTCTTAGGAACGAACCTCAGAATTTGCAGGTACTTGGCGCGGCCTTGCAAGAGCAATGGCGTAGAATTCCCACGTGTTCACAAGCATCAGGCAGTCGATGAGGAGATGGTGTTTGGCAGTGGTGAATGCGCGGGGCGGCCATACACAATATTGAACTGAGAAATTTAGCATTTTTATTCTTGTGACTTGACATTCTGTATACCCATGTTTGGGAACGGCAGTGTAGCCTAATGGAACTGATTATGGCACTGTCAGTGTATCGAGTACATCACACGGATCTCAGCAATGACATAATAACAATTAACCATCTTACCATCTCTTGTTCTTTTATAGTGCCCTGAAGAAAGAATGTGAAGTTTCTTTTTTGACTCAGTATATATATTCTAAAGAAGCTACACCAGTGACTTTGTTAAATCTTTGGCCAATGTTCACAACTAGATTAAACTGACCGAATTACATCCATATTTTTTTCATTGAAATATACTGTTGACATGCAAAACATTTATTAAAACGTTGCACATTTCTACAATCAATCGATAAGATAACACAAGTGATAGGATTCTTTCCAATGTACTGTAATTTGTATGTTTATTTCAAAACAAACACACATACACAAATGATCCCTTACACAACCAATACGTATACTATACGTACACATATTCAACATTTTGCAGAAAACATCTGTTGAGATGACCCCTCACCCGAGCGTGTGCTCAGGTGTCAATTTCACCTGTCGATAGTGTGCATGCTGATGGCGTAACACAGGCAGTTAATGTTTCTTTCAAATAACGTCCAACTACCCCTTATTTTTCTAAGTTTTTGGTATTTTCATCAGTAAAAACACATTTTACAACATGCCTCAAAATTTATTCCCTCAGTCTACATTAGGTAGATGTTTCTTGAAGTGATATTTGTTATTTAAGTAACTGTAATACCTCTGAATTTTAAATATAAGTCAAAAAGCATTTTTCTAGCATTTCCGACAGTACTTTAGCCCACTGAGATACCATACCGCAGTGAAGCATGAATACACCACTCAGACACATTATACTGACTCCGAGCCGACCAGTCCTTGTTGTACGCATTTATGCCGAGCACCAGGCAGGGACCAACAAGGACCATATTTTAACGTCTTTTGGTATGACACGGTCGGGGATCGAACCCGCGACCTTCCGCTCTCCGGGCGGACACTCTAACCACTACACCACAAAGGCGGTCCTTATCAACGTATATCAACTATGTATTGATGTTAGGCAAACACATGGGTGAAAGTCAGTAATGTATGACATGAAATGTCGCACCCATTTGTGGTGTCCTCGCCATGATATTGCTGAAATATTGCTGAAAGTGGCATAAAACTAAACTCACTCACACATGACTTGTCGCACATGTCTCAGTTTTATCCTAGGTTTGTTTGTTAGTGGTTTAACGCCACACTCAGCAATATTCCAGCTTTATAACACCGGTCTGTATATAATCGAGTCTTTACCAGACAACCCAGTGATCAACAGCATTAGAATAGATCTCCGCAATTGGAACTGATGACATTTGTCAACCAAGTCAGGGTGCCTGACCACCTGATCCCGTTTGTCACCTCTTTCGACAAGCATGGGTCACTGAAGACCAATTCATGGGAAGTTTTATGTCAGGAAGAATATTATCTATATATACACTTTTTATATCCTCAGAGTAACAAAATGGGTCTAAAAATGATATCTCTTATGTATACAACATTTTACTAACCCTTCTTCAGTTCTCTGTCCACTCCACATGGGTGTTTATGAAGGCTACAGTTGAAGCCCGAGGTCCCTGTGTATCCCTTGGCCTCGTTACAGACACAGGAGATGGCGCACGTCTTGTCATCATTCCAGGTCAATCTAGCCTCAGTCACTGAAGGAATACACAGGTGTATAGTATAGACAAACAATGGCCAGATCAAGATCTAACATCTGATTCAAGAGCCAATTTTACCGGTGCCAATCCCATTTTGGAATGCTGGCTGCAAGACCTGTCAAGTAGTATTCCAGATGCCACCATACAGTACACTAGCATCCATTGCTTTTAGCAATATTCCAGCAATATCACAGCAGGGGACACCAGACATGGACTTCACACATTGTACCCTTGTGGGGAATCAAATAACTTCCATGTTTGTCATGTGTGACAAACTAACCCTTTAAGCACGCTACCCCACCGACCCCTGAGAATATGAAAGATTCAATCAACTTACCAGTTAATGCTCTCTCTCAGAATTATACAGATAATGTCTTTATTTCATCATGAAATTCATTGCACATTGTGACCAAAACTGAAAACTGACCCCAGTCAGTGGAAGAGAGCCTGTTTGCTCAATAATATGTCGATTCATTACTGTCATAATCCAGGGATTTACCTTGAGTCCTATATTTGAGGGTCCCTGGGACTCATACTCTCAATTTTCAGGAGTCCTGGTCTACAAAATGGGAGTCCCAGACACTTAAATATTATTATTATTATCATTATGTTGTAATATTGTTGTAATTAAGTTACATTGTATTGTGTATCATGATCATCACATTGTTATTGTGAGTAATTAAATTGCAAATGATACCAAAACCCGGCTAGTAGCAGTCTCAGACTATTGTTACTTGATCAGAATTTTTACAAAAAGTATTTAGACTTTTTTCGCGTCCCGTAAATCCTGCATAATCGAATATCATTATCAGAAGTTTTAGAGTATGATCCATTTCGCTATACATCTAAATAATTTCCTCCGTTCTTAAAACAGACCACGTTTGTGGTCCAGTGAATAGAGTGTTTGCCCTGTGTAAGGTAAGGTTCGAGTCCCTGGCTATATCACACCATAATGTGAAAAGATATACTTGTTGTTACCCTGGCTGGCACTCAATAAAACAAGGACTAGTTGCCTTGGAAACAGTGTCCCACGTCTGTGTGGATGCATGTTAAACTGTGGTGTAATATCTCAGGGGCTGGCTATATAAAGTCAGTGTTCGTCAAGACTAGTAAAACCATGGGTTTTTATCTCTAAGTCTTAGGGGCGGTGGGGTAGCCTAATGGTTAAAGCGTTGGCTTGTCACGCCGAAGCCCGGGTTCGAATCCCCACATGGGTTCAATGTGTGAAGCCCATTTCTGGTGTCCCCCGCCCTGATATTGCTGGAATATTGCTAAAAGCGGCATAAAACCAAACTCAGTCAGTCAGTCTTAAAGTCTTAAAGTGTGAGACACTTGTGTTTATATTTATATGACTTACCCCCTTCTTCCATTTCTGGACATGCGATGCGATAGCACTTGACAGGGAAACTTGTGTTGGTGAAGTCACATTGGATGAAGCCCTCCCCTGCACGGCACACACTCCATCAGGCCACGCCCACATCTTGCTGGTAACAGCTCATGCCCTGAAGGTCAAACAAACACATTTGTCACATTTGAAACCATATATGTTTAGCGATTAATTAACTTGGCTTTTCTTACTCCTTCACTGATAATGTGTGAAGCCCATTCCTGGTGTCCTCCGCATTGATGTTGCTAGAATATTGCTAAAAGAGGCGTAAAACCCAACTCACTCACTTATTTTCATACTAAAACCATGAACACACAACTGACCCCAGCTGCAGCTGAACAGATTCATGTGAAGTACTCAATCACTGTCCTTCACTGATGAACTTACTACAGCAATCATACGTTCACTCTTTCTTGTTCATTCACATATTCAGAGGTAAATTCACTCAAACATTAACTCATTCATTTACTACATCATGCACTCATTCACTCACTCAGGTACTCATTCTGTCGTTCACTAATATTGATTCACTCATTCTCTCACTCCATCTTACCTGGAGGGCAAGGCTTGTCATTTGGAAAGCTTTGGCATTTCTTTCCTAGCACCTGCAATAGAAGGGGTTGAATAACTTCAATAACAAACAAACTATAGCATCTGCAATGGAAGCGATTTAATAACATCAATAACAAACTATATCACCTGCAACAAAAGGGATTTAATAACTTCAATAACAAACTATAGCACCTGCAATAGAAGGGGTGGAATAACTTCAATAACAAACAAACTATAGCACCTGCAAATATACTAGCCACATAAAGAAACTGTGCACACAGAAAATGCCTTCAGAATTGGAATACAACACACCAAAGACAAAATGATGTAGACACTTTATAAGCTGAAGTGTCGCACCACAACAACATGTCAAAAAAAGCATGAACAATAGGGCCTGTAAGTAGGTCACGGCACTTCGCGAGAGATTACGTTGTTTAGTACTTCCGGTGACAAACAACGTTTTTCGGCAATGGCGATAACACTGTTACATGGGGTATGCCGTGGATAATCATACTCGACACTGGCTGTGTGAATCAGAAACCTATGCCATGTAACAGACAAGGGACTGCTAAAGCACTAAGGCAATGTTGCATGAATAGCACGTGAATATTTGCCAAACAGATGCAGAGTTGTCACAGCCTCGTCCATATTTTCCATATTTTGAGTGTATTTGGTCTTCCATTTTTGCCAATTGTGACTTGAAGGTGCTGTGTGCTGCTTCATATTTTGCTTACAGCATAGCAGAACCTCAGCCCTGCATAACCAAGAACTAAGTAACACTCATGTACTTTAGATCATAGTACATAGTTCACTCACTCCAAGACATCTAGTACAAAGTGTCATAAATATTGTCCAACAACCAGTTTTTATATATCACCTCTAAAATAATGTTTACATAATTTGACAAATAATTGTTTCATGATGAATATTCATATGGCTGAGGGTTTTCACATTTTTGTTTTGAATATCTGACAGCAGTAACCGAAATAATTGTAACCATGCCATCAAGGTTATTTTGTCGAGCTGTTGATTGATTTGTGACACTGTGACTTCTTGTGTGAATAAAAACATCACCATAAATGGGAAAGTTCATATATTTATAAAAAAAATTATAATGTTACAAGAACTGCTATTTATTCCAGGCATTGGGAAAGACAGGGGCCATTATGCACATTAAAATAAAAATGCCCATTAAAATTTTGAAGTTTACTATTGATACAAGGGCAGTGGCCCATTCTAAATTCAGAAAATGGCTAATAATCCTCAAATTGTCGAAGGTCTCCATCCCAATCCCTGTATTCAATATATCATTATCAGTATATTTACAGCATGGCAAAGAAACAACTTGACACATGCAGATCCCTGTCATCTATCCAAAGTAAAATTTATAATGCATTTTCTTTCACATTTGCAAAACAAAACAAAAATTATTTCATGTATCTTTGAGTCATTCTGTCACCTGAACTTGCATACAGTCATCCCTTGGACTTGGAAGAGAGTAAAATTATTAAGCCTACCAACTAGTTTACAAAGTATTTATATTAGTACCTCAAGTATTTATACACATGCATTTTACATTGCATAAAGCCAATTGTCTCTCTTGAATATTTTGTAACTATTCCAAATTAAAAACTATTTTTTACATATCAATATTGATATTTGTTAGAAACTATTTGATCTCATATGTAAAAAATAGTTTTTAATTACAAAATATTGCTGCAGCATAACAAATGTAATTAGAAAATAAGTAACAAATTAAACAAACAAAAATATTCTAATTTGGAATTACAGACAGACAGACAGATTTATTTCTGTAGTTCTAGGCCAGGGGCCCATAATACAAAATGCAGACATTGGTACATCGCATTATACCTGCTTGAGTGTATTAGATACAATGTATATAATGGATAAAACATTGTGATATCAGATTTCCTTTTTACTTACTTTATGTGACAAGCGAGACGTCCAAGACGAATTATTATGATTATGTTGTTGCATTACGTTGAATTTCACATTTTAATATCAGATTTACTGGTTACTTTCTTTATACGTACAAGGCAATTTAATGTATTTATGTTGGTACAAAAACTTAGCATAGTAAAATTCTATTATTATTTACATACTTTAATTGAAAAGGGAAATGACAGTCAATGTTGCCAAATATGAATAGAACATCAACTTGATAAAGTTGGTAACACATGGCTGTTTTATGAATAGCAGTATATTAATTAATAGTTTTATTAATTCAATATAAATACAGATTACTCAAATGCATTTTACGTTAACCATGTCATTGATTCCCGAAATATGTTTTGTGACAAACACTGTCCCCGATACTGAAAAGAAACACGTTTAGCGATAGAACTGCACTGGTTGTCAAAAATATATTATAGCTAAAGAAAGGTGGGCATATGTTTTCGAATTGATGGTTGTTGGTTGTCACTAAGGAACCGATAATCCTTGAAGGAATAATAATTTTTCTATCTTATCGTCCCCAAATGATCCAGTTATTACGACTGTCACCAGCTGTGACAGCCAAGCATGGTAGTACACTTGGTCCAGTCTAGTAAGGTCATATTAGGTGGTCGCGCAATGTGGCACCACAACTGGTTCTTGCGTTATTCGCTTGTCACCGGAAGTCTAGTAGCGGAAGTAGCGCCTCGCGAGACTTACGGGCCCTATATCCGTAACGATGACGTCAGAAGTTCAAAATCGAGTAGGGGGTGAAGCACAGTAGTGCATCGAAGACGCATAGAGCTACCAAATGAGCATTGAAGGCCTGGGGAATGGTCTTGGACGTGGTCGCTGCTGTCTGGAACCTTTATCTGAGATGAGTCACCCGAATCCATCTGTCCTGTCTTGGCGTCGTTACGTCGGGAACGACCAGAACGTGGGTGGTTGGCGACGTCATTACTGTTTCGATAACGATGTTAATCTTGGCATGATGTGCATATGACTTCTCATGTCAATTTGTGAACGTTTGAATGACCAAAGATCAAGCTTTCGACAGTGACAGCAATTTCAGAATTTCACATGTGTGCAGCTGCACGGGCTGCACGTGCAGTAACACATTGCAAGGCCATAGGCCACCGTCAATGACGTCACATCGCCTGGCACGTGCATGAGCGTTTGATTGTCTAAATTACTTGGTATGTTCACAAATGTAATTATGTATAAAGACACTGTGTGCCTATATTTATATGTTCTATGTGCACAGTTTCTTCATATGGCCAGTATAGTAATGATTGAATAACTTCAATAACTAACAAACTATAACACTTGCAATAGAAGGGCTGGAATAACTTCAATAACAAACAACTACAGCACCTGTATTAGAAGGGGTTGAATAACAAACTATAGCACCTGTATTAGAAGGGGTTGAATAACTTCAATAACAAAACTATAGCACCTGCAATAGAAGGGTTGAATAACTTCAATAACAAACAACTACAGCACCTGTATTAGAAGGGGTGGAATAACTTCAATAATAAACAACTATAGTACCTGTATTAGAAGGGGTGGAATAACTTCAATAACAAACAACTATAGCATCTGTTTTTGAAGGGGTGGAATAACTTCAATAATAAACAACTATAGCACCTGTATTAGAAGGGGTGGAATAACTTCAATAATAAACAACTATAGTACCTGTATTAGAAGGGGTGGAATAACTTCAATAACAAACAACTATAGCACCTGTATTAGAAGGAGTGGAATAACTTCAATAATAAACAACTATAGTACCTGTATTAGAAGGGGTGGAATAACTTCAATAACAAACAACTATAGCACCTGTATTAGAAGGGGTGGAATAACTTCAATAATAAACAACTATAGTACCTGTATTAGAAGGGGTGGGATAACTTCAATAACAAACAACTATAGCACCTGTATTAGAAGGGGTGCAATAACTTCAATAATAAACAACTATAGCATCTGTATTAGAAGGGGTGGAATAACTTCAATAACAAACAACTATAGCATCTGTATGAGAAGGGGTGGAATAACTTCAATAATAAACAACTATAGCACCTGTATTAGAAGGGGTGGAATAACTTCAATAATAAACAACTATAGTACCTGTATTAGAAGGGGTGGAATAACTTCAATAATAAACAACTACAGCACCTGTATTAGAAGGGGTGGAATAACTTCAATAATAAACAACTATAGCACCTGTATTAGAAGGGGTGGAATAACTTCAATAATAAACAACTACAGCACCTGTATTAGAAGGGGTGGAATAACTTCAATAATAAACAACTATAGTACCTGTATTAGAAGGGGTGGAATAACTTCAATAACAAACAACTATAGCATCTGTATTAGAAGGGGTGGAATAACTTCAATAATAAACAACTACAGCACCTGTATTAGAAGGGGTGGAATAACTTCAATAATAAACAACTATAGTACCTGTATTAGAAGGGGTGGGATAACTTCAATAACAAACAACTATAGCACCTGTATTAGAAGGGGTGCAATAACTTAAATAATAAACAACTATAGTACCTGTATTAGAAGGGGTGGAATAACTTCAATAACAAACAACTATAGCACCTGTATTAGAAGGGGTGGAATAACTTCAATAACAAACAACTATAGCACCTGTATTAGAAGGGGTGGAATAACTTCAATAATAAGCAACTATAGCATCTGTATTAGAAGGGGTGGAATAACTTCAATAATAAACAACTACAGCACCTGTATTAGAAGGGGTGGAATAACTTCAATAATAAACAACTATAGTACCTGTATTAGAAGGGGTGGAATAACTTCAATAACAAACAACTATAGCACCTGTATTAGAAGGTGGAATAACTTCAATAATAAACAACTACAGCACCTGTATTAGAAGGGTGGAATAACTTCAATAATAAACAACTATAGTACCTGTATTAGAAGGGGTGGAATAACTTCAATAACAAACAACTATAGCACCTGTATTAGAAGGGGTGGAATAACTTCAATAATAAACAACTACAGCACCTGTATTAGAAGGGGGTGGAATAACTTCAATAATAAACAACTACAGCACCTGTATTAGAAGGGGTGGAATAACTTCAATAATAAACAACTATAGTACCTGTATGAGAAGGGGTGGAATAACTTCAATAATAAACAACTATAGCACCTGTATTAGAAGGGGTGGAATAACTTCAATAATAAACAACTATAGCACCTGTATTAGAAGGGGTGGAATAACTTCAATAATAAACAACTACAGCACCTGTATTAGAAGGGGTGGAATAACTTCAATAATAAACAACTATAGTACCTGTATTAGAAGGGGTGGAATAACTTCAATAATAAACAACTACAGCACCTGTATTAGAAGGGGTGGAATAACTTCAATAATAAACAACTATAGTACCTGTATTAGAAGGGGTGGAATAACTTCAATAATAAACAACTACAGCACCTGTATTAGAAGGGGTGGAATAACTTCAATAACAAACAACTATAGCACCTGTATTAGAAGGGGTGGGATAACTTCAATAATAAACAACTATAGTACCTGTATTAGAAGGGGTGGAATAACTTCAATAATAAACAACTATAGCACCTGTATTAGAAGGGGTGGAATAACTTCAATAATAAACAACTATAGTACCTGTATTAGAAGGGGTGGAATAACTTCAATAATAAACAACTATAGCACCTGTATTAGAAGGGGTGGAATAACTTCAATAATAAACAACTACAGCACCTGTATTAGAAGGGGTGGAATAACTTCAATAATAAACAACTATAGTACCTGTATTAGAAGGGGTGGAATAACTTCAATAACAAACAACTATAGCACCTGTATTAGAAGGGGTGGAATAACTTCAATAATAAACAACTACAGCACCTGTATTAGAAGGGGTGGAATAACACCAATAACTAAAAGAAATGACAGCAGCACCTGTAATAGACACAGTTGTTGCTCCTTGTGTATATTGGGCAACTGTCAAGGTGCAAAGCTCCCTAGTCTACCTGATGCATGTCATATTGCATGGATTGATGATCATGATGGCAGTCACAAGATTGTCTGGTCCCGACTATATCATTCACACAGCAATTAATTCAGATACTGCTGGAATATTGGTGAGTGTGGTGTTAAATAGCAAACAAATACAGTAACTAGGCAGAAATGCTTGACTAGTGGGTCCAAATGTTGTGGCAGCCAGCTTACTATCAGGAAAATATATTTGTAGGCAGATTACACACATGTAGGTGCACTTGACTTTATTTCAAGCAAGGACGGATAAAAGAATTTTATACTATTCCCTGGAAATGATATTCGGGTTTGCAAGAACCATAAAACACTAGAATCAGAAACTATAATTAAAACAATGAAAACGCATTCAATTATTGGTATTTATCAGTGCTTTAAGTCTGGTGCCCATGTACAAACCAGGAAAGAATTTCACAAACTCTACTGATGAGAAGCAGTCACAGACTCATTTTCATGAAGGGGTGGTGGGGTAGTCTAGTGGTTAAAGTGCTCGCTCCTCACACCCAAAGCTCGGGTTTGATTCCCTACATGGGTACAATGTGTGAAGCCCATTTCTGGTGTCCTCTGTCGTGATACTGCTGGAATATTGCTAAAAGCGGCGTAAAAATAAACTCACTCACCCATTTTCATGAAGAAACTATGAACACACACAACTCACCCCAGCTGCAGCTGTACAGATGCATGTGAAGATGCATGTGAAGTATGCAAGGTATGTGGGAGACATCCTTCTTCTTCATCAAATTCATTCTTGCTTTCGAAATGATACATCCATTCTCTGGAAAAGATGATGGATGTTAACTGATGTTAGCTCACTAAAAAAACAGTTGCAACTCAAATTATATGCCTCATGACTAGATGAACGGAATGAGACCAGCTCTAAAGTTCCTATGTTAAAACATCAGTTATAACCCAATTCAAACCCTTCTCATATTATCATTATGGGATATTTATATAGCACTCATATCCACACAACTAGTACAAGATGAAGGCACTGGAGTGTTCCCTTGGTCAACGGGTGTCTTTTTTTTTCTTTTAACCATCTCAACTCCCTGGGGAGTATTCAACTCATGCAGCCTGTTATGCGCAGCGAGTTATCACACAGCCTCATCCTTACGAGGTCCCCATTTGCACCTTGGTGGACTGGGACACAAAGTCAGTGTTTTGTCCAGTGATACTCCACGTTACTATACCCGCAACTAGGTGTCTGCACGTGTTCGTGTGTCCACCATCTGGTCACCCATCATCGGATAAGTGGTTCTCTTAGGTGCACAGAGTTGTGTACTGCACTGAAAGAGCCTGCAAGTAATGTTAGCTCCAATGCTTTTAGTGGGGATCAATCCAGGCACCTTTTGCTTACTAGCGCTGCGCCTTAGACAGCTCGTCCACCTTGCCCCTTGTTATATCATTGGTTATAAACCAGCTCAAACCCTGTTCATGTTATACCAATGTTTTTAAACCCTGCTTAAGTTATATCATTGGTAGTAAATTATAACTTCCACTTATGTAATATCATTTGTTATAAACCAGCTCCACGCCTACTCTTTTTACATCATTGGTTATAAACCAGCCAAACATTGACGGGGGCTTACACCATTGTTTATAAACCAGCTCAAACCCTACCCATGTTATACTACTGGTTTAATACACTAGTCTTACCACTCATGTTATACCATTGTTTAAAACGCAACCCAAACCCTACTCTTATCATAGCATTGGTTATAAACAAACTCAGTTTATAACCAGTGGTATAACATGGGTAACTGTCATGTTATACCATTGTTTTTAAACCAGCTCCAACCCTACTCATGTTAGATATCATGAGTTACAAATTGGCCGTTCCACATCATATGTTATAAACCAGTACCACCCCTACTTATGTTATACCACTGCTTATAAACTAGGCCCAACCCTATATTATACTATTGGTTAAAAACTATCGCTACAGCTCTACCCTCATGTTACATCATTGTTTATACACCAGCCCAAAGCTCACCCTGTATACCAATGGTTATAAACATTCTCTACCCCCATATTATACAATTGTTTATAAACCAGCCTAAACCTGCTCATGTTATAACATTGGTTATAAAACAGCCTAAATCCTACTCATGTTATACCATTGTATATAAAACAGCCTTAATCTTATTTATGTTATCCCATTGGTTATAAACCAGCCTAAATCCTACTCATGTTCTACCACTGGTTATAAACCAGCCTAAATCCTACTCATGTTATACCATTGGTTATAAACCAGCCTAAATCCTACTCATGTTATACCATTGGTTATAAACCAGCCTAAATCCTACTCATGTTATACCATTGTATATAAAACAGCCTTAATCTTATTTATGTTATCCCATTGGTTATAAACCAGCCTAAATCCTACTCATGTTCTACCACTGGTTATAAACCAGCCTAAATCCTACTCATGTTATACCATTGGTTATAAACCAGCCTAAATCCTACTCATGTTCTACCATTGTAGATGAAACAGCCTAAATCTTATTTATGTTATACCATTAGTTATAAACCAGCCTAAATCCTACTCATGTTAAATCATTGGTCATGAAACATATCTACCCTCATATTATACCATTGTATATGAAACAGCCTAAATCTTATTTATGTTATACCATTGGTTATAAACCAGCCTAAATCCTACTCATGTTATATCATTGGTCATAAACCATATCTACCCCCATATTATACCATTGTTTATAAACCAGCCTAAATCCTAATCATGTTACATCATTAGTTATAAACCAGAGTAAATTAATGTTATACCTCTGGTTATACATTAGCAATAATCATCTTGTTATACCATTGGCTGTAAACTGTATCAACCCTTTATTTTACATGACTGTTCAGCATTTGTAAACCATCCCAAACCACCGTTTGTACACTATCCCTACCTGCATGTTATATGATTCCTTATAATCCCGCTGAAACCCTACTCATGTTAAACCATTGGTTATACGCCAGCACAAACCCATCTCATGCCAAAGGTTATGAACAAATACCATGGTTACTTTCCCTATAAGAAATGAATGCAATTTTATACATGTACAATGTAGTTCCGCTGAGAATTGCAAACTCATGAGTTTGTATGAACGAATAATCTGGTTGATGACAAGTACCCAACAATTCGTGATATTGAACAACACGGGAAACAGCACTCCCACCCAACCCCTACCTCAACCCGCCCCCCACACAGACACTCACCCGACACCAAAGCTTCAGCATGAGCATCGTACTTGCCTCAGGTTGACTCCACAAGGCTCTACAAGCATGAATACCGCACTCGTGTTCTTATCTCAAAAATTGAAATCGTTGACGGAACGAAAATAGACTAACATCAAACTACAATATTTGTTAAAATTCTAGAACACGGCGTGACAGCTGATAGTAGTTAAAACTCATTCAGGAAATAATCATGTGTAATTGTACAAAATAAAACTGCACCAAATGACAGTGACATTAGGTCTGAGCCAAGGCGCTCAAACACGACTACATGTTTTCTCGTTGCTTACTGCCTGGATTGCTACAGAGGTTTCCGGACGTGAATACCCTAGACGGTAGACAGTAGAATATAGCTGTGTGGTTCCGATAAATTCTACACCCACTTTCACATTCAGCGCAAGGACAGCTCATAGTCGAGTCCATTCGTTACAGCTGGAGGTGAGGTGAAATTGGGTTTTACGTCGTGCTTGAGAATATTTCGCTCGTATGACGACGTGTATACGTGTGTATGTACGGCTGCTTGTACTAGCCCAGACTGAAGCTGGTTTTATAGAGCTAGCCAACTGAGATACCATGCCGCAGTGAAGCATGAATAGGTGAGGTGAAATTGGGTTTAACGTCGTGCTTGAGAATATTTCGCTCATATGACGACGTGCATGCGTGTGTATGTGCGGCTGCTTGTACTAGCCCAGACTTAAGCAGGTTTTATAGTGCTAGCCCACTGAGATATCATGCAGCAGTGAAGCATGAATACCCCACTCAGACACATTACACAGACTCCGAGCCGACCAGTCCTTGTTGTACCCATTAATGCCGAGCGCCAGGCAGGGACCAACAAGTACCATATTTAACGTCTTTTGGTATGACACGGTCGGGGATCGAACCCGCGACCTTCCGCTCTCCAGGCGGACGCTCTAACCACTACACCACGGTCCGTTACACCTGGACTTGAGGCCTGAACATTCTTGCGCCGCGTTTAAATAAACATAGAATAACACCGCCGTTATCAACCGTAATGGTGGCTGGCGGACGTTTCCAAAGCCATATTGTCAAGCGGCATTAACACCTGTATCACACTGAGTTAACAAATGAATAGGAAATGAACAACTCATAAACAGGCCATCGATTGACCGCTCAGCCGTACACCATGCTGCGCGGCGCATTTCTTTTACCTTGTGTTTAACACGCATAATTCGGTGGTATATCCAGGTATATGCAGCTCAGATGTAACGGTTGATCTTCATACAATTAAATCCAACTTCATTAAGTATTAACTAAAACATTTTGAACGCTTTCGTCAAAACGTACTCACCAATTACCAAGCTTTGTAATCCCGGTGCCTCTTCGAATGAATCCACCCATATATATATATGTATATATATAGACCCAGCAGGCACGTGACTGCGTAGACACATTGACTTAAATTTGCATATTTTCTTTATATATAAACAAACGTTTTCAAACGCGATGGAATGTGTTGGGTTCGTTTTTCAAATTTTGTTATATCAATATTAGGTCATTAAAATTTTATTCAAGATTTATGCACTATTTCCCATAAATCAAACCGTCTGTCGCAGTATGTATTTTAAGAGTAGATAAAATCAACATAGTATCTTTGTGTAAATACACTTTAAATACTTTATACATGTGAATACTTTTAGGCACCTTTACCCAAAATTCTTCACCAAAATTAAATTTTGAAAACGTAAATTCAAGCAGAATTTTATAGCATGTACTGATGTAGCGATTACTGGGCGATACCCAACAAATCATTCACGACAGACAGGTCTTTGTCTTGCGGTTTCCGTGACGTGGTGTTATATTTAGATTTCTTGGTTTTTCCAGGTTGAGGCGCTTCTACGTTGTGCTCTCAAGATAGAAATATTACAGTGAATCCTCGCCGGTGTTTTAAAAGTGCCTCACCGTGTTCACCGACGGGAACGGCAGCACTTAAAACTAGGTCGCGTTTTCACACGTGAACTGCCGGCTTTTGGTTAGATGCGAAAACCAGCCTTTGAAGTGTTCACAGATCATAAACTATTACAGTAGACTACGTTAATAACGACTACGCTTATATCGAACTAATGGATATGTCGATCTACCCAGAGGTCCCGATAGCTAAGATAAATAGCGCTCATGTCAGTGAACGCTACTTATCTTAGTTTGCTCCCGACGAAGTGTTGTATATATTAGTTGAAACGCTACGGTTATAACGAACTGTTCTGGGGTACCGACAAGTGTTGTATATTTTAGTGGAAATATATATAACGAACTACGGTTGTAACGAACTAGTGATTCGTTATAACCGTAGTTCAGTGTACTATCGTGAGAGTGAATGTGGTTGGAGTGAGTTTAGTTTTACGCCGCACTCAGCAATATTCCAGCGATATGGCGGCGGTCTGTAAAACCAGACAATCCAGTGATCAACAGTATGATCTTCGATCTGCGCAATTGGGAACCGATGACATGTGTCAACCAAGTCAGCGAGCCTGACCACCCGATCCCGTTAGTCGCCTTTTACGACAAGCACAGTCGCCTTTTATGGCAAGCATGGGTTGCTAAAGACCTATTCTACCCCGGATCTTCACGGGTGGAATGTGGTTGGAAGTCAAATCAGCTATATTCCAGGTAAAGTACACGTGTATATCCGACAATGCAGTCATGTTACGCTTGAGGCAGTTGGCGACGTCACACATGTTCAAGACCAAAACAGATGCGGTTGGGTAGCCTAGTGGTTAAAGCGTTCGCCCGGGTTCGACTCCCCACGTGGGTACAGTGTATGAAGCCCATTTCTGGTGCACCCCGCCGCGATGTTGCTGGAAAAAGCGGCGTAAAACCACTCACTCACTCACATAGGCCCCCGCAGCGGGTCAGAAAATCGACAAACTAAGCCCCGGGTTACTATCCAACACCTCCACTATATAATATGCTCACTCACTCACTCACTCCAAATCTTAGAACGTGCCTTGGTTCGCGTGGAGCTATGCACGAGTGCACAGCTACTTTCAAAAGTTCATTAAGTAGAAGTTGTGTATGCCCTTAAAACATTATAAAGGAGCTAAATTGTATTGCCGTATATTTATAATCAATTAATCTGTCAGTTACGTTCTTTTCGTTCGTCACTATGATTAGCACGTTATGAAAAACAAGCCTTCGTGCAAAGTTACACAAAAGGGGTGAGCAGTAACGAATGTCATCTGAGGCGCCTCAGTTCGCTGTGCCCATGAAATTGGAATTGATCTTCAGTAGCCCATGCATCCCTGAAGTGTCGGCTAACGGGATCGGGTGGTCTGGCTCGCTGACTTGGTTGACACACGTCATCGTATCCCACTTGTGTGGATCGATGATTATGCTGTTGATCACTGGATTGTCTGGTCCAGGCTCAATCATTTCCCGACCGACGCTATGTAGCTGAAAATATTGCTGAGGCGGCTTAAAACTGAACTCACCCACTTCGCTGTGCAGAGTTGTTTCCCTTGGGTCTGCCAGAAACCTATGGTCGTGGTTCTAATGTCTGTTCGCCCCGATTCTTTTTCCACGTCTATCAGCATCATACCCATGCACGTTTCACGAAACAATAAACGTCTGGGACCAGTATCACGGGATTTCTTCCCGCACCAAGCTGATCATGACGGAACTGGAATACTGTTCATAGCGGAGTTAAACTCACTCACTAGGGTCACGTCAGGTGAATGTTATTATCAGCCAGTCAGCCTCGGGGCTTTTCAATTCTCTATATCCAGACGAGCAAGGTACTGAAACAAGCATGTCTGGTTTCAGTATCACGTACATGCATATAGGAATTGTACAGTTCTGTACACGACAAGGGTCATATATCACGTAGCAGATATGTTCATAGCAAGCCCCGATCAGTGGTTCAAATTAGAAGCATACGAAAACGTATGCAGAGCCCCTAAACATGCGTTGTGCATGTCGTCGTCGACTGGGGTGCAGCTGTTATAGGCTCTGTCATTGTGCCCTGGTGGTGAACGTTTCGGCTGAAGTTCCCGATTTGAACTACTGAATCGCCTGGTTAAGCTTCAATGCAGGCTACCGTTTTATAGCTGAAATAATGTCAAGGTTAAAGTTAGAAAGTCTTTAGGGACCGTTTAGAATATATGGCTGGTGGTGTTGATGATTTTTATGGAGAAGCATGTACAATGTGCGTGACACCCCCACCCCACCCCCTCTAAAATTTATTTTAAGATACAAAGTGATACATCCCCCCCTGCATGTCATGTACAAAATCAATGACAACACCCTCCACCCCTCCCATGTTTTTTAAGCATAATTAATAAAGATTTCTATGTACAAGATTGTTGACCCCTGCTAGTACATGTGTACAAAGTTGATAACCCCCCCCTACCTACCCAAAGCAAAATTGGTGACCCCCATCCCCTTACAATTAGCATCTCTTCCACCTACACTAGTGGATGTACTGGTCATTCATATGTAGTGTGGGGCGGTGGGGTAGCTTTGTGGTTAAAGCATCCGCTCGTCACGCCGAAGACCCGGGTTCGAATCCCCACATGGGTACAATGTGTAAAGCCCATTTCTGGTGTCCCCCGCCGTCATATTGCTAAAAGCGGCGTAAAACTAAACTCAGTCAGTCATATGTAGTGTACGACACCTCACTAGTAGATGTACTGGTCATTCATAATGAGTGATTTCTACAACATTTTTTGTGGTAGGTATATATGAATGAACACTTTCTTTAGTTACAGCGATGTTTCAGAAGAGATTCTAACAATAATAAGCTTAATAACAGTGTTAGAATCTCTAAAACATCAGAAGTTGGTCATTCATATATACTTTTCTTATGATAAACTAACTTCTATATGCCTTTCTGGAAGTTATAACCTTGTTAGTTGTATTATGTAATGGTTATATTGTGGGTTTTATGATGATTCGTTCGCGTACAGATTTTCCAGTTCACTTGTTCCAACCTGAAAATCAAGATGTAACTCTCAGGACCGAAATGTAGGAGATGAAACTACAAATAAGGTTTGGTTTGTAACTCTGCACTCAGCAATATTCCAGCTGATGGCAGTCTATAAATAATCGAGCCTGGACTAGACAATCCAGTGATGAAACGGGTGATCAGCATTAACATCAATCTACGCATATGGGATGCGAGGACAGGTGTCAGGCATGAGCCTGACCTCCCGATCCCGTTAGTCGCCTCTTACAACAAGCTTAAGTTACTGAAGACCAATTCGTGCATGAAAATAAGGTTGGGGAAGAAATAGCCTAGCTAGGCCAGAATCTCCCTTTTCATATAAGAACAAGGGTAGGCAAGAAGTAGCCTTTAAAGTGGATTCAGTGGTGGGGAAACTTTGGCCTAGGACAAACTTTCCACAGGGAAGATTAGCCTGTTACACAGGATCTTCACGGGTACTGTAAATAAGGTCTCCAGTTGTACTTCTGTTATTAAAAAGGAAGGCCACTACCAAACATATGCCTTTATTAGAATAACAATTCATGCATGACTTGTGTATCACAACTTTACTTTTATCACTGAGTTATCACACAGAAAAAGAAATGTCAATACTTCATACCCTGAAACATGCGTGGTAATGACATTGATACATACAATCAAAACGTAGTGAAAATAATGCCAATGTTCATCTTTTCTAAGGACATATCTGAAATCATTTTTCATGTAATTTTAAGGCACAAAAATGCATGATTTGGATGACATCGAACAGACCCTTTACCATCAGGGTCTTACATTTGTTCACAATTCTGGAAGAAGAATGACTTCTGTATTAACATCCATTGCATAGGTAAACTTCTGTAGCCTTTCAACCGTACTACCTGCCTCAGGGAATGTGACAATATGCAAAGAATGCTATATATGGAGAAGTCAACCAAGTGCTGCAGTCAGCGTTTGATAATGACAATTATAACCAGAGGGGAGGGAGTATTCACATTGTCAGTTGCAACCGGTAGGGTGGGGTGTTCACATTGTAAATTACAACTGGTTCTGTGTTCACATCAATTATAACAGAGGGAGGAGTTTGGGTGTTCACATTAACAATTGTAACAGGTGGGTGTTGGTCACTCTACAGAATACAAGATGGTATCTGGGTCTGAATCCATCACTGAGACAAACTGCCTGTCTCCAGGAGGAATACAGGTAAACAAAACCAATGTCCAGATTAATTCCATTTCACACATGTCCCAGCCATATGTGCCTAGGGGAATGACCCTCCCTTTGATATCATTTCAAAAAGCGTCAGCATCTTATGGTGAACTAATGCCTTAAAAACCTAGGTTATTGTTTTTACACACGCATACTTTCAAACGAAAACATTTTATCACTAATCCCTATCTTTGCTGTGATTCTTTAAATATTGAAAGGTAAGGTCATCTATGACATCGAGATAACTGACTGTGAGTGGAGTGTTACACAGCTTTTAGCAATATTCCAGCAATAACATGGGCTTCAGATCTGATGTGGTCACACATTAAATATACTATCTAATTATTGCACTATATATGTAAAATAGACTCAGTATAAGCAGTGTAATGAATAATACTAAGACTGATGTAAAATACATCCAAGTGACCAGATAGAATACAAAATCATATAGAGACCATCACAGATACCATTTTGTAAAATAAAACTTTGTGCTAAGTAGTATTTAATTTAAAAGACATTATGCAATCCAGGTGTGTAACCTTTACAATGCCACTGTAATACATTTTCCACAGCATGAGAGTCCACTAACCTTAAGCTAATTCTCGGAGATGACCCTAGTTACAGAACTTTCCCCAATGTACTTTCTATCGTGCAAAATTCACATCAATGAGTACTGTTGACTGCAGTTATGAACAGGTGTAGGTAACAGTAAAGCACCCTGTTTGACCGCAGCAGTAAAGCACATGTTTGAACATGAAACAGATAAGGCCATATATTTCAGTCTACAATTGCAGTGGTGTTGCCTATGAAGATACAGATTAACAAAAACCCCATAAGAATATATAACACCAGCTGCCATTTGAGAAAATAGATTGCCTACCTCTAGATATGTGTGTTTCGAAACTAAACTTACCTAATCTGTCAGTGACCCAGAATTAAATTGATCCAATAAAATGAAAGCAAGTCTGACATTGTTAACTAAACTACATTACTGCAATATCTGAAAATGAAGATGGCAGGTCGGTTTCAGTGCCGCCGCCGCCACCACCACCACCACCACCACCTTGTGTGGATTTCTTGGGACAGAGTAAGGATTGGGTATGTGTATGTGACTACTCTGAATACTGCTTGTACTGTTGCTTTAACTACTTACAGGTTGAAATGGTAACTGAACATTGCAAACAGGTTTACTAACTTCCACATAATCAGGTCATGTGGGTATCTGATTTAATAACCAAGATATTTCTCTCTATAAATGTACAAGAGAATAGTCTCAAATACAAAAACATCACATGAAGCGAGACAGTCAGTCTTTCCATTCCCATATAATACTGTTCAATAAAGTCGTAAAAGACTATACAAAAAAATGTCGGTGAGATTCATTATTTGGCAAGATCTTTAAAAAGTTTCCTGTAGATTCTGGTAAAGCAATTGTGATTATAGATTTTCTTAATAAAACAGCTAGAGTGTTTCCTTTCTGTCAGGTTCAGCACTTCTAAATGGACACAATATTTTGGATTGATAAGGTTAAATTAGAATGGTACATGGCCTTTAACAGTACATTCCTGGTAATTAATGCTGCACATACTTACTGACCTAATATCTCTGAACAGGGTAATACTTAGACTACATTGTTATCTAGCAACAATCAGTGTTTCATAGGTCACACCATAAAGGTTATTCACTTTAACGGATCCTAAAACATGTTTCTTTCAGAAAACAATAAATTCTATGAAATTTTCTGTGCAGATAATAACATTGAATTAGATCATCATTAAATCAACTGGCTAAAATAAACAAGATTCTTTAAAATGGCAAAATATAAATACTAAAAACATAACATTTTAGGGAAGATTCTTTCCTTATCACATAATATATCATGTCTTAAAACAAAATTTATTATGATTATCACCAAAAGCTTTTCAAATCACAGCATTTTGTTATTTGACAATCCAGTGATCAACAGCATGAGCATCGATCTACGCAACTGGGAATCGATGACATGTGTCAACCAAGTCAGCAAGTCTGACCACCGATCTTGTAGTCACCTCTTACGACAAGCATGGTTGCTGTGGATCAATTCTAACCCGTATGTCACTTTAACGGATCCTCAAACATTGATTTCACAGTATTTTGAAGATTTTCACACACAGAAACACTTTGTTCATAATGGGAACTGGATATAAAATGTTTGCTCGATGAGAGGACGGCAATACAGGCCTATTTGGCTCACTGGGCATGTCAATTAAGTAATAGAATATTTCAAAATACTATAAAAATATAAATATATTAAAGCTTCATATGAGCAAGTCTTCATGATCTGAGATCAATACTATTAAACATGTAAATGTTTTATCAATTCCTTGGAGTGTCATTTTTGGTCAAAGACACTCATGTTCAAATACTGAATTAGAAACACCTAGAAATGGGCTTGCCAATACATTAGTCTTTTTACCATTGATAATATCCTTCATACTGAAGTCTACATCATGTTTTGCAGTGAAATATTTCTCTTTAATATTTTAATGCTAACACCTTTGGAATATTGCAACATATCTGACAAACTGTCATGAAATAATTGTTCAAGTTTAAAACCTAAATGAACTATACAATAGTTTGATTATCACTATAGTCTTCGGCAAGACTCAGCAAACTGTTGAAATTGTGACCTTTGAATGCAAAACTGGTTAAACAAATTCATTTCCAGAAGTATCTCTACGAATATAGTTTATATATTAATGTCATCTTGGTAGACTAGCATCTTGTGACTTGGTGGAGCTCTGAGGCAGGAATGTTTGAGATTTTTCAGTTGTTTTCTGTGTCCCCTGTGGATTGCTGGGGACTGAGAAAAGATTCTCCTTCACCTTCTCTCTGACCTTGACCTTCTGAAAAAGAATTTTTTTCCAAGATTGTAAATAATTCAGTACATTTCAAAGATCCATGTTATACACTGGCAACTGAAAAAGTCAATTCAAGAGTTATGCCCCTTGGGGATGCCAGAAACCTGTGATCATGGATTTGAATACCATGTTCTTGCTGAGTATAAAAGTTTATCAGCAGCAAATCACGCTAACTGCCAAATTCCTACTTCCTGCAATATGTCAGATATTCCTCCCATGTGGAAACACCGCAGCGAGTGATATCAACAAAACTTACAACAATACCAATGTACATGCACAACACAACAGCCATTTAAATCAGATCACATTTCTGAGAGCATATTTTTAAGACATCATTGCTTGGATCATAACCCAACAATAAGCCTTCAGGAACCAGAGATTTTAGCTGTGATACATCAACGAGAAAGTCTGTAAATAATCGAGTCTGGGACCAGACAATCCAGTGATCAACAGCATAGGCATCAATCTACACAACAGATACGATGACATGTGTTAACCAACTCAGCAAGCCTGACCACCCAATCCTGTTAGTCGCCTCTTACGACAAGCATGGGTTACTGAAGATCAATTCTAACCACGGATCTGTACACAACTTATACACGTGACTATTAATAATGTAAATAATATGAATAAACAAACAGATTGCTGCTTGAATCGCATTTACAAATAATTTAATTCCATTTAGCATTATTTGGCTAAATGTCGTTATTGTATGCTCCATGCATTTCCTGAATTCCTACAATTATTCTCATTCTACTGACAATTACACATAATTTCTTTACAGCAAACACAATAAATTCCTCTTAACAAAACACCCAAAGATGTGCATTTCATCACATCCGCTTACATTACGTCATCACACAATTGGACACATCATAATATTTATATTACGTCACTTTCTTTCCTCCGCCATTTTAGATAACCGTCATTTTATCTACCACTTGTTAACAATTTCATTTTATCTTTTTCTCAGTGTAGTCTAGTGTAGTGTAATTACACTGTAATCACAGTGTAAGCAGCATTTGTGCAACAATGCCTCCTAAACGTAAAGCGTCGCTTAACCATAGACTGGTCCGGACTCAGCCTGCGCCAAAGAAACAGAATGCAGGAAAGTCGAATACAACAACGGCGCCACAATATAGTGCAGGTAATGTTACAGACAATGGCATCATTACTATTGATCCGGGTGTCATATTGCAATCAAATCAAAATATGAATCAGTCTCAATCTGCGATACTGCCGGGTAGTCACATGCACCACGCTCTAGCCTGGTTATCACAGCTCGCATCAAGGTAATTTCCCATCTCCTCCATCCACACACACACACACACACCCCGATCTCTCCAAAGTCGGTTACCACTCACATATCCTGTGGAAGCAATAGGCTCACACGTAAAGGCAGTCGTTCGGCAAAAAATCCTCAATGGCGAGTATGTTGACTTCCGTAATTTGCTCCCATCGGATAACCAACCTCTCAACCATGTCCCGCTTAGACTTGTTTCAGATAGCAACGGTCAGCTCTTGTTCAAGCCATATGAATCTCACACTGCACGTCCAGTGACTTAACGCATGGACGACTGCTTTCCATATCTTCATGGGGATATACGTAAGCAAGCACGCAGACCGAGTGCAGGAATTACTGTCATACTCTGAAACAATCAGGGGAGCAGCCTTCAAGCACGGCGGAGATTCATGGGCGACCTACGATTATCACTTTCGTCACAAAATGGCACGTGACCCAGCCAGGTCATGGGGTAAGATTGACGGTGACCTTTGGTTAAAGTGTATGTTGCCAGGTAAGAAAACCCTGTCACCAAGCATTCCTTCTTTCTCCAAAACGTCAAAGGGTGATGATAATGTATGTTGGGATTTTAATCGTTCTCAGTGTGCAAGTTCCCACACAGGTGTTCCAAGTGTCAGAGTTTCAGCCACGGGGCCCGCTCTTGTCAGTCACTTTTTCGTTCCTGAAACGCACCAGGGACGACCCAGCAACACCACAAGTACCAAAATGCCGGCACAACCGTCACAAGTACAGCGGGCAAAACAATTGGCTCAGGTACCAATAAATCTTACTAATCTCCCTCCCTGGCTATCTCTCTATGGTACTGTAAATACGTTGGATGCACAGTTTTCGTTTCAGGGTTTTTCTGAGGGTTTCAATTTGCAGTACACTGGGCCCACTGGACCAAGGTTTGCACACAATCTCAAGTCAGCTACCCAACTTCCACACGTGAAAAACTCAACAAAGAAATCAAACTGGGGAGAATAAGTGGACCGTTTGAATCTCCTCCCTTTCTGGATTTGATTGTTGTATCACCGATAGGTTTGGTAAACAAAAAGGTTAGCAGTGAATCGGTGCCCACAGACGATCACTACAGGCTTATTCATCACTTATCTTACCCAGAAGGTAGGTCTATTAACGATTTTATGCCCCAGGAGCTTTTGTCGGTGACCTACACAAAATTTGACGAAGCAGTTATAATGGTACAAAAGTTGGGTAAAGGCGCCGAGTTGGCCAAATTTGATGTCAAATCTGCGTTCAGATTGATGCCGGTCCGCCCCAAAGACTTTCATCTTTTAGGAATGTGTTTTCAAGGTAAATATTACTTCGATAAATGTTTACCATTTGGATGCTCGATTTCCTGTGCATTATTTGAAAAGTTCAGTACATTTCTTGAATGGTGCATCATAAAGAAAAGCTCCTCGCATTCCTTAATTCATTACCTTGATGATTTCTTGTTGGGGGGTTATCCCTTTACAAACACATGTTCTGAATTACTTAAACTTTCTATGGACATGTTTCAGCAATTTGGTGTGCCAATTGCGAATGACAAAACTGTCGGACCCTCCACTACAATCACATTTTTGGGCCTGACGATAGACACTGTAGCTATGGAGGTGACAATCCCGGCGGAGAAGATAACAGAGGTCACCTGGCAGATACAAGCAATCCTCACGAGCAGTAGAAAGAAAATACAGGTAGTAGAGGTGCAATCGTTGGTTGGTAGACTCCAGTTCATTACACATGCTATCCCAGCGGGCAGAGCTTTCTGCAGGTGCCTGTACGACTCAATCAAGGGTCAGGTAAAACCATATCACCGAGTCAGGATTACCAGGGGAGTGAAAGAAGATCTTAAGGTCTGGCAAACATTTCTCCTCAACCATAATGGTACATCTGTGTTTCAGAATGAAGAGTGGGTCACTTCAACCCAAATAGAGCTTTTCACAGACGCCGCCAGTTCGTATGCGGGTTCGGGTATACTTCCATGGAGTTGGGCGATGGTAAATGGCCAGGCTAATTGGTGAGAGCGGGTTACATGAAAGACATGACTTTCCTGGAATTGTTTCCTGTCATCGTGAGCCCCTACGCTTGTGGGCACCTAAGTTTCTTAACAACAAGGTAATGTTTGTGTGTGACAACCAAGCTGTCGTGTCCATCATCAACAGGCAAATCCAAGAACCCAAGGTGATGTCTCTCGTGCGTTTGCTAGTAACTTCATGTCTTAAACATAATATTCTTTTCCGTTCCAGGTACATTTCTACTCATGATAATGTTATAGCTGATGCTATTTCGAGGTTTCAGTGGATCGTTTCCGGGAAGCAGCACCACAAGCAGACTCAACAGCAACACCACTACCACCGGACATCTGGGACATTTAAGACTGGAGTCGGACCGTTTACTGGACCTGTCACTATCCAGAAACACTTGGAGGACCTATCATACAGCGTTACAGTCTTTCAACGAGTTCAGAGTGTCACATTGTCTCCCATCTACATGGCCGGCACCGCTTGATCATCTTATCTATTACTTGTCAGCATTGTCATTGCAGGGTAAATCAGCTAGAACGGCCAATGCCTATATCTCAGCACTGGGAACCTGGCACTCCAGTGGAGTGGGGTGTCAAGTGGGGCTGGACATGGCGCCAGTACAGGCCGGCAATAGATCTGATCGCCAACTCAGCCCGTCAACCCCGGATCCTAGTATTACACCTGGGCTCAAACGACCTAGGAGTCACCACCGGCCGGGAGCTCTTTGAGCAGATCATGGAGCAGCTACTCTACACTCGGTTGCGGCTTCCCCACACCAGGCTCCTGTGGTCCAATATGTTGCCGCGGTGTTGCTGGCGATATGCTAGAGATATTAAGTGTGTTGAACTTAGCCGTAAGAAGCTGAATAGGCGTGTTGCCAATCTTATGAGGACAATCGACGGTGAAGTCATCCGCCACGACTTTATCTACCCAGGTGTAGATCACTACATCAGTGATGGGGTACACTTGACTCCCGTCGGGTTGCACATTTTCTGTAATGACATTCGCTGCAGCATAAGTTCATCATAAATTCATTTATCTGGGAGTCCTCCTGCGTTTTTCCCCTCCATCATTTTACATTATCAATTCTACCAAAACATAACATGACATAAGACTTTCTACTTTATTTCGGTGTGGATGGCGCAGCACTTTCAGTGCTCGGTAGCGAGGTTCGGGCTGGACGCGGGACCAATCTCTAGCTCGATTTATACCTCGCTGCTGCTGCTAGGCTGTCTATTTTCCAATAGAGGCTACTTCTAACCTTCAGGTGGTCAAAATAGCATTTAAAAACATCGCCGCTACCTGTCTGTCTGTTCAGGGTCCAACGGAGAGCAGGTCATTAAATCGCTTTGGCTTGGCCCTGCATCCGCCTTCGCCTTCCACACCTGGCCTTTGTTAATCCAATTCTCTACTTTGTTATCAATTTGTTGTTACATAGTTTATAGGAGAGTCGGACAATAATCACATATTCATATTAAATTTAGCTGTCATTTCTATTCTGTCAGAAATGTAATCATAGTTCCACTTTTAAGTCATGTTTATACCAAAATTACCACACTGAGAAAATCAATCAGGTCACAGATGTTAACATTGGTCTCTTTGTTTCATCCCAATATAAAAGAAATCTCAAATCCTAATATCCAAAAATGATTCTATCATTTCTTTTGTCTGTCTTTTCAGAATTCTATTTTATATAATTTTCAGTATAAGATATTTATTTGCAGGTTATGTACAAGGTAGGCAGTGAAACCTTTGCCCTTTTCCCCAACTAACTCCAAAAATAAACCAAGAAAATTAAAAAGGCAAAAGGCTGTTGTTACACTGATACTTTATGATATATATATCATAAAGTAAGTTTGGTGTAGAAAACAGACTGCCAGTTTGCCTGCCTGAGCCTGGGCCCCTAACACAGGGAACATGACTTCAAAGCAAAACAACACAGCTTACCGTCATATATTGGAGGGGTCACTTGTGCAGCTTCGATGTCTGAAAAATATGACCAGATATTTCATAAAATATTCATTACTGTGATGACTGACTGACTGAGTTTGGTTTTACGCCGCTTTTAGCAATATTCCATTACTGTGATGAAAATGCAATTTAAATTTAGCTTTCAATGTATTTTAGGACATAAAAAAAGAAATCTTAAACATCTAAGTATCAAGTGATATACTCTCACCAGTGGAGCCGCCATGTTTGATTTTTTTGTTGCAGAATCTGGTGTCTGAAATGGAAAAATGAACTATGTCACCAAAATCACACAGGAAACATGGACATTAACGTTGCATTAAACAATATTTCAATTGTGTAGAAGCGACGTGTGCATGTGTGCATGCGTGTGCATACATATGTATGCAGATTGTCTGTGTGCAGTGAGTGTGAGTGTCTGTGCATGACATCTCAGTTAAGGAAACTTGACAAGAAAGACCAGTGATTTATATGATCCGCACCATAAACGCAGTCATATTACAAAATGTATTCAGAAGAATGCAATAAATAAAACCTGGAAACTGAATTTGAGCAAATCAGGAGCTGAACATGAATTGTAAAAGGCATGTGTATAACACCGGCAGCATACAACATGAACAAACAATTAAATATATACAAACCTGTAGAGGTTATTAATTCTTTGAAGAAAGTCCTCCTTGGGGTACATGTAAGCATTTTAATGTCCATTTTAAATCCTACGACAGTTGTAACTATATTTAATAAAATATTTACAAACAAAAAACTCATTTTGTCTTGTGAGACCACCCCTACAGGGCCCCACCGGACCCCCTACAGCCAAGAGCAGGTAAGTCTCGCCGTCTACCTCGTACCTCACTTTTCATACTGAACGTGTCCGACAGAATGAGGGGAGGCGGGTGGCCGTACCCCAAGGAGGACTTTCTTCAAACAATTCATAACCTCTACAGGTTTGTATAATTGTTTTTCAGAAGAAGTCCTCCTTGGGGTACATATAAGCATATGACAGACTCCCAAAGATATTGAGATGGGAGTGACATTCTGTCTGGCAACAACTAAACCCATGGTGGAGTGAAATCTACAGCCGATACGTAAATAGAAAAACACTTACCGAGCCACCTAACCGCTGATGTCAATCAGACAGGGTGTGGCTAAGGCGGGAACTAGAGAGCCCAAGCTTATACGTCAATGGGCTCAAATCAATTATGACATAAAACCCCACCCCCAACCATTACAATGGAAAGGAATGTATGGGGACATGCCGAAACAACTCCCAACCCTAATATAGCCCCAACCAGAGAAGCGTGGCGAGAGGTATAAGGGTAGGGAAAGCGTAAAAATTTAAATGCTTAAAAGCCAAGAGTCAAGCTAATAAGTACTGCAAACTAATACTTGAATGCACCCCTCCTGTTTGGAAGAGGGCTTGCTGGGACCTCGATAAAACCCAGAGAAATTATTAGCCTCGCTAAAAACTTTCTGAGGAAATCGAACGAGTACAAACGCCATGCATTGTACGAGTGAAAAACAGGATAAAACACCCGCACCAAACACTCTCGGCGTGAAGAAGGTAAGTGTAGACCACCATCCCACAGACTCCCAAATACCGAAGTCTCGGGAAGAGGGAAAAAAACTGTTAGCGTACACAAAAAATCCCCTGAATAGTGAAAAGCGTGGCAGAACATGTGTTGGCTCAATATTACACTAACCTGGTCACGTGACATCCAGCTCGAAGAGAGGCATACCAAACAGTGACCCGTGGGGGGGGGTTGTACCCAATTCCGTCGCAAGATGGGTTAATAGCATAGGACTGGTTAAAGCGTTCAAAACCGGCCCCACCCTCTTGCCTTTAAGTGAAGAGGACGTAAGAGACGTATGTACACCCAAACCCGACCCAATTCGAAAGGGTGGTAAGGCTTATACGATGTAGTGATATGAACCATATCGACATTGAACACAGAACCGATACCAATGACCAGTTACTAACTTGGTCAGGGTGGCAGGACACTCCACTGGAGAGAACCGAAAGACTGAACCGAGCACGAATGAGTGTCAAGTCGGTAATGGCGAATGAAGGCGTTCTGCTGGCTCCAAAAAGCAACAGAACCGATCTCTTCATTGAGCAGTGCCGCCGTGTATTGCCAACAAAGCGGCATCTGCCCTACCCAGTCTGCCTTCAACCCCTCGGGGGAAGGTAAACCTTAGCATTGTGACCGAACATTTACAGAAACAAGCCAACGAGATAAAGTCCGCTTGCTAGCCAACTCCCCAGTCTTCCCGCCACCAAACAGAGCACATGGGTACCCGTACGGATCCCTTTCATTCGTTAGTCACGGGTGAGCAATCGAAAGATTAGTCCACGGTGTGGACGGCTGGGTAAGGGGTGGAAGTTCGATATGAGCAGTCCCGTTGAAAAAAAATATCGAACTGAGAGTGTTTCATGCCAGCTACGAAGTGCTGCGTACGAGAGGGTGCTGCCTAGGCAGAGCACCATCGAAAGAGGTGTGAAACGTGGAAATAGCCATGGAGTACCCGGGAATGGTGGAGGTCATAAGGCACTCAACCAAAACGAGGTTATAGTAACTCCAATATCCGAACTAAATTCGCAGAATAGGGATTATGAAATCCCCCTATCTGCACACCAGCACGCCTAACCTATCAACACACTGAATGGGTGTCAAATCCCGACCTGAAGCCAGAATTGTGTCTGCAACGGTTGCAGGAATTCTGCGTGTCTGGGGGTTAGACCCGACAGACCAAGCCACCCTGTGAATCCGAGGATTCAGGTGTGACACCCCCGTTCAGAGTGAGAATGTCTGGCCGAAAAGGTAATTCGAATCCCGGCGTGCGGGATCGAACACCAACCTGACTGCTGTCAATTCCAGCACATTGACGTGCAGGTTGTGACTTCGTCGTCAAGAGACCGCAGGTCGCCCAGAACATCAGCCCATCACCCCAACCCGGTAGGGATGTATCTGGCTGGACTGAGAGTGACGGTGTCTCCAGGGGGAGCCCCTCGGAGAGACGCCTGATGTCTGTCCATCTGACTGCGTGAGGTTGACAATTCCGCCCAGTTTCGTAAGATTGACCAACACTGATCGCGAGGTTCCCAGACTCAACAGTTATTCTAAAACCACAATGAGCAAGTCGCCTAGGTACGGATGACAACACCGGCACTGCGATCTGGCTATCTGGGCTGTAATAAACCTCAATTTGGTGAACACCCTTGGCGCCGTAATGTAGCCTAAGGGGGAGCACGTGAAACTGGTAGCACGTCCCCTCAAACAAGAACCGAAGGTAAATCTTGAAATCAGGGTGCAATGAAACAAGGAGGTACACGACCTCGAGGTCGATTGACGTGCGCCAATCCCCTGTCTCGACAGATGAGATCACCGAGCGCGGTGTCTCCATCTTGAAGGACAGTACCTCTATAAACTCGTTCATCTCTCAGATGAGAATGGGTCTGATCATTCTGTTCTTAATGGCAACGAGGAAATAAATGGAGCCAAACCCCACATTTTCCTGACCATTGGAAACCACCTCGCTGGTTGCCTTGCCCAGCAGAGACTGGATCTCGGCACGGAGTATTTTCGCCATCTCCCGGGAAGCCGACACTGGTGTGCGTCGCTCCGACCGGGGTTTGTGGCAGAATACAGTAAAACCCCTGCAGTAGGCAACATAACGTTTGCCAGTGGCTGGGCACCTGAGGAATCAACGAGAAGCTCGACAGACTTCCGCATTCCTCGAAACGGTCCCGGGCGCCATAGGCCCATAACCGCACTCATCATTTGGCTGGGAGGGGAACTCCAACGGTTCAGGTAAATGACGTGAGGCAACACAGCCGCGATTCTATCTCGCACTTGCCTCAGGGACGAACCTACTCAGTGTTAAGTTCAAAGAAGTGAGAAGAGCAGAAGCTCAAATCGACTTGTCCACTGTTCCGAGGCACATGGGAGAAGCCTGATAAATCAAGGTTTCACAAGCACTCAGACCTCGGAGCGTCGAGGTGACTGACACACTCGATAGCTTCTTGGTCAAGACGTCAATAGACATCAGGCCAAGACCTGAACTACCGGCGCCAGGAATCTGCGCCCTACCAGTGCCGAAGCCCGGGTAGGTGCTACTCACGGGGTTCAGAGCATCCGCGGAGCCGAAGCTTGGCGGTTCTACACCGAACCCCAATCCGGAGACACGTAGGAGTAGCCTGATAAATCAGGGATCCCCCAGTACTCTCCGAAAGTGCACTGAGCATATAGTCAAACATAGCCTATAGCGCTATATAAATACCCATACATACATACATATATATATATATAGAAGTGCTCGGGTTGGCAATGCAGGGGTTCCCCTGGTGTACATGGGTAGACCTTTGTGCTTTGAAGTGATCGATAGCTCCGTCACACTCAAAGTCCTCTTGGCCAGGGCGTTGATAGCTAACAGCGCTGCAGATCGGCTCCGTACCGGGGCCAAAGCCCAGGTTTGTGCTAGTCCGATCCTCGGTCCCGAGACACATGGGAGTAGCCTGGCAATGCACGGTTCCCCTGGTGTACACGGGTAGACCTCTGAACATCTATGTCATCGGAAGCTCGGTAGCTTTGTCACACTCAACAGCCTCCTGGCCTGGGCGTCGATAGACATCAGGCCGAGACCTGAGCCAGGCATCTGCACCGTACCGGGACCCAAGCCCGGGTCGGTGCTAGTCCCCAGGTTCAGAGCGTCCCCGGAGCCGGAGCTCGGGTCCAATCGTCCCCGGGAGGTCAAACCCTTCCCGGAGCCGGAGCGGGGCCTCCCCCAAGTCTGAGATAAGAGCGTGCACCGATGATCTCCGCTGCTGCTATAAGTAAGAATCCTTAGAAACCTTTCAAATATTATCCCCCGCCTGAAGCAGATTAGTGAAAAACAAAAAATCTGCATGCCTGAAAGAATGCGAGTGAGGCGCAGAAACCCAGGCAAATAACACAACCTCAGCCACTATGAGCCACGTTGCGTGTAAACGTATGAAATGTGTATATGTGTAACATAACACAACATAATGTAACAGGAATATTGACGCAAGGGCGCATTTGACTGACTGACTTTGGTTTTATGCCTCTTTTAGCAATATTCCAGCAACATCACAGCGGGGAACACCAGAAATGGGCTTCACCCATTGTACCCATGTGGGGATTCGAACCTGGGTCTTCGGCGTGACGAGCCAACGCTTTAACCACTAGGCTATCCCACCACCCCCGCTTATTATGAACATCCTTGATCGTCGTGAGCGTCCTCGGCTACAGCCATTTAAATACTAAACATACAATGCAAAGCAGAAAAAAGGTTGGCCGCACCTGTGTGTACATACTAGCGAGTAAAGTTGAGCGATACGAAACGAACACTATCAAAATTACTCAACGACTTACCATAAATTTGCTAAAAAGAGAATTTAGGCAAGCCTACAATAATATATGAACTCCCTACTACAAGCTACCAAGAACATGTAGCAAGGAAACCACGATCATGTGGTCCGCCATTTTGCCTGCCACAAGGCTGGAAAACAGAACCCACGGCAAAGTTACGACAAAAGATGAATGAGAATATCAACACATGAAGTCCATCTAACGCCCGCACGTAAAGAAAGGAACCATACATACAGACATAAAAGTCTCAAACTCGAAACAAACACCACGCATGTCTATTCAACAGATCGACAGCATGAAAAGTGAGGTACAAGGTAGACGGCGAGAGTTACCTGCTCTTGGCTGTAGGTGGTCAGGTGGGGGCCCTGTAGATGTGGTCTCACAAGACAAAACGAGTTTTTTGTTTTGTAAATTTTTTTATTTTTAAATATATACTTACAACTGTCGTAGGATTTAAAATGGACATCTAAATGCTTATATGTACCCAAAGGAAGACTTCTGAAAAAGAATCCTGCATTCTGATTGGCTGAACTGAACATTTGTTATTGCATTCATTTCCCCAAAAATGTAAAACAATTAAGCCACTCATATGAAAACATTACTTTCACCAATTTCAGATTGTTGGAAATCTGTTAATCTTTTGTAATGATCCACCAGGAGGATTTATACAAATCTTTGAAGGGCATTTAGAAGTGGAATGCATAAGAAAAGCAAGATTTGTGGATGTCAATTTCTTTATTGTAAATATCCTATCACATCTATTACCATGTTGTTTTAGTGTATCACTGGCCTCATGTATGTACTATACATTCATTCCTCAACATTGTTAAACACAATGTTATGCATACATGTTTTCTTTGTAGTGCCTCATGTATGTCATTCTCCTTCCCACAGATGTTACTCCTGTCATATCTTCCTACGTAACCTCTGTCCTAATACGGCCCTTTCATGAGTGTTCAAGACTCGTGATTGGAGGCAATCAGATTTAGTTGTGCAATCAGCGACGTTGTTTCAAAAGTGATCATTCGCAAGGCCTCTAATTTCCGTATGCTTCGAGAAAACTAAACGTCTTCCCCTGCGCGATGCGCAAATGTTTCTTCTAGACAGAACTCCGTCATGTTATGGCGGATCAGTGGCGTCTCCATCGTACTCGTTGACAACGGACAAGCTGGCCATTAAACGTCTTGTGTGTAACATCAACACAAGTCCCCGGCAGATGGGGGGATATTTGTGGCCCCACATTTGCTTGTGTTAGTCAAGTTGAATCTAAGTCGATGTAACACGTGTTCTGATTGGATAGAAAGAAGGGAGATAATTCGTGTTGCGATCTTTTGCCGCTAGGGGATTTTACGAGAACCGGGAAATATGGCCGTATTAGAACAGAGGTTCGTAGGAAGATATGACAAGTAACCTCTGTGGGAAGAGAATGCATGTATGTATATATCCCCCATGATACTCCCAACCGCCTCCGTGGTGTAGTGGTTAGAGCGTCCGCCCGGAGAGCGGAAGGTCGTGGGTTCGATCCCCGACCGCGTCATACAAAAGACGTTAAAATATGGTACTTGGCATTAATAGGTACAACAAGGACTGGTCGGCTCGGAGTCAGTATAATGTGTCTGAGTGGGGTATCCATGCTTCACTGCGGGCATGGTATCTCAGTGGGCTAGCACTATAAAACCAGCTTCAGTCTGGGCTAGTACCAGCAGGCGCACATACACACACACGCATGCACGTCGTCATATGAGCGAAATATTCTCAAGCACGACGATAAACCCAATTTCACCTCGCCTCACCTGATGCTGAGTCCCTACCATCCACCTGATGAAGGAGCAAGCATACACTCTGAAACGTCGTGTTATTCACAATAAAGAAGTTGACATCGATAAATCTTGCTTTTCTTAGAATTTATACAGTTTACACATCGGTTTTACTTTTCATACATGAATGAAGTAGAAAAAATACGCATTGTGTGAAGATAAATGAAGTACTCACAAATGGTGTTTCTGTGAACGGCAATCAGTACCACAATCCCCATTATCAACAACACACAAGCTGCTGCTATTGCCGCTATTACCCCAGGAGCAGTGTCCGGTGTGGAAGGCCTGTGAAGGATTCAAAAGAAATGAACTGAGGGGATCTTTGCTCCATGTCTAGTGACAATTATGGGTTTAGTTCCAGACAATGTAACTTGTGACTTGTCTTCAACGACTGGAATGATGCATAGTATTGCATCCAGAGTGCACGGGTACCAAGTCAAGAGTGACTTAGTGTGACATTCCAGCCATAAACAGCAGTCTGGAACAAATCTGACCTTCTTAGCAGGCGAGAGAGGCTCCCAACAGAGTTAACAAGCCTGACCTATCCAGCAGGAAAGTTTAGATCCTACCAACCAAGTAACCAGGGCCCCGTTTCACAAAGCTATCGTAGTACTATGACTGCCGTAACTATGTTACAGTATAGGAAGTATGACAGTCTTACCGCTACGTTAGTTTTGTGAAACGGGGCCCAGGCCTAGGTAACCCCACTCCCATCTTAAAATCACAGGGACCGCCTCCATGGTGTAGTAGTTAGAGCGTCTGCCCGGAGAGTGGATGGTCGTGGGTTTGATCCCCGACCGCGTCATAACAAAAAGACGTTAAAATATGGTACTTGTTGGTCCCTGCCTGATGCTAGGCATTAATGGGTACAACAAGGACTGGTCGGCTCGGAGCCCGTATAATGTGTCTGAGTGGGGTATTCATGCTTCACTGCGGCATGGTATCTCAGTGGGCTAGCACTATAAAACCAGCTTAAGTCTGGGCTAGTACAAGCAGCCGCACCTACACATACACACGCATGCACGACGACATATGAGCGAAATATTCTCAAGCACGACGTTAAACCCAATTTCACCTCACCTCAAAATCAAAGGCCACTCTCATGCTGAATATATGTACAAAAATATATAATCAAACATAAAATGCTATTTTTCAGGTAGCTTGAATAAGGCATTGGTTTAGAAAATTCAGGGCATTTCAAGCCATTTTGAGGTAAAATGTAATCAAAGGATTCTCCCAGGGACAAAAGAAAATATAGTTAATCCTGTCCCATTCCTCCATCTGAGGTCCTTGCTGACACTTTTAAACTTACGGGGGCAGTCGTGACGGAAGTGGCAGTCGTGACGGAAGTGGCAGACGTGGCAGACGTGACGGAAGTGGCAGACGTGACGGAAGTGGCAGACGTGTCTGGCGGTTTGCAGCGTCCAACTCCCACACCTGGTCGCTGAGTTCCAACCGGGCAATCATGACATTTCCCTGTAAACAAACGATTCCGCTTATTGAGCTTTATATAATATGGTTTCAAAGTATAAAAAGATATCTTGGGACATTCACCATTATCAAGAGAGGTGTGTGTGTGTGCTTGCGTGTGTGTGTGTGGACTGACAAAAGCCCAGCAAGACCAAAGCCCCCATACACAAAAGCCCGTTTGGGCAAAATCCCCATAGCAAAAATAACAAATGAGACAAAAGCCCCAAATAATGTTACTCAAGGTGGTCTGAGTAAGAAGTTGGTCTTGAGAATGGTAATCAAGAAATTGGGTTTGAAAAGGATTAAATAAGATAAGATGTGACAAGTGCTGTATTAAGAAAATATTCTCAGATTGGATAGGGCTTTGCTGATTTGTTTGTGATTTGATGTGACAAGTAGTGCTGCTCAGAAAATGTGTTCAAATGTTCTGATTGGATAGGGCTATGTTGATTTTTAATATTACAATGTAAATAAATCTTGTTAAATCTGAATCGTTTTCGTATATACTATTATATGGGGTTTTTGCCCAAAAGGGCTTTAGTCAGGCAATCAGTGTAACAATGCATCAAAATATCGATGGATTGCAATTGTTGAGTCTCTAACAGCAATTAATCGATGGTAGAAATGAACGAGTCATCATATTAAGATGACAAATCCCCCAGGCCCCCATAAATTTGAAAAAACAAATCAACTCAGTTACTTAAAGGTCACATGCAACCAAAAAATCAAACATAATTAAAACACAATTATCACTTATTCATGACATATAATATACATTGCTGGTTATGAAAAAACATATAAACAAAATTATAAGCGTACAATTGCATATCAAAAGTGCAATATTGTGTACTTGGGTTTACTTCCCAAGAAACGAAGCAGCCGGGATACCGAACCCAGTCAGAGCGGGTGGGTGTGCACTCAAGTGTAACGGCTGGTTCATTTGCAGATCCCTCACGGCTCATTGTGTGTGTGTATATATAGAGATGTTGGGTTTTGTAAATACATGCTCATTTTTTTGTGTATAACATTTTGCAATCAACAGACATCATAACATGTCATGTGTTCAAGTATCACACCTGCCTCCCTCGTAACATATAGTGAACTGTGTCAATATTTTAATGATAGATTGTTAAACAACTTTATTATTTTTAGGACAAATTCTGCAAAAACCTCAGAGTCGGTATGATGTTTTGATTATGATCAGCGTTTCATAGAGTATTTTATGTTTTATTAGTTTTCGAGTTAGATTGCAATTCATCGGTCCGCTTTTGAGCCAAATGGACTATAGTTATTAAAAGACTGAAACTACTTCAACTTGTTTTTATTTCATATAAATATTTCATTAATTTGGGAAATGACTTGTAATGAGACAATTCAAGGACAGAAAAAAAAACTTAGTTGGTCGCAATAGACTATCGCTATCGCAATAGTTGTTTCCCCCTCAATAGTCACGCCTTGTAGATGTAGTGTAGGTGTTGTGAGTCTGGGCGTGAGTGGACATAAAAGCGAGTGGGTGGGTGTATACATGTGAGTGGGTGTATAGGTAGGTGTGCTTGTACTAGGGCTGTAACGATGCATCAAACTATCGATGGATTCCAGACTATTGATTGTTGAGTCTCTGATAGCAATTAATCGATGGTAGAAACGAAAAACTATCGATGCATCGATAGTATGTGGGACTATCGATAGTTTAGTAACTGACATCCGTTGATAAATGCGCAAAATACAGGATGTTTGGGTGGAGACTTGCAGTTTCATTGAGTTTATGTTTTAACTGTTTACTTGATCTGGGTTTCTTGTCAGTTATTAAACAGACTGAAACTACTTCAACTTGTTTTTATTTCATATAACTATATATTAATTTTAGAAATGACTTCAAATGAGACAGTTCAAGGTAAAAAAAAATATTGCAATAGTTGCTCACAATATCGCAATAGTTGTTTCCCCCTCAATAGTCACCCCTAGCATGTACGTGTGTGGGGGTGTGGGAGTGGTGCAGTGTGCATCAGCATTCATATTAGGGCTGGGACGGATACTCGGGTACTCGAATCCGGGTCGGGTACAGCTGGAATCGAGTCCTATTTCAAGGAATCGAGTACCCGGAAAGGGGAGAGAACTCTCATGTCAAGGGCACGTAACTCTAACCTAGAGCAAAAGTGCTAAGCTGAGTGTTTGGGCTCATTTTGAGCTTGATACAAATGGCAGAACCAATTGGCGACTGTGTGTACCATGTTATTTATTGCAGAAACAGTACAAGTTTAATGCATAAACATCTTGCTCTAAAACACAACGTAAAACACGAAGGCGTTCATTACATTGTGTAACTCTAATTGCTTATTAAGTTAGTTCATAAAAAAGCTGTTAAGACTACATTGAATAGTGTTTAGTTCAAATTTCATTTCAATTTCATGAGACACATACTTTACTTCTGCATCAAAGCTGAATACATTCACCATAAAGGAGATTGTAATTAAATGATTGTGTGTGTTGGGATAATCAATTAAAACTAATAAATTAACATAATAAAACGAACGTTTATTAAAAGAGCACATTCTGATTTACAAATTCAACGTTCGGATGATTATCATGACAATAAAAAGAAAGATAATCAAAAATATATAGAAGCACAACTTCCAATGAAGAACTCAGTGTTCACTTATATACAAATTTAGAATATTTAAATAACAATAGTTTTGTGCTGTTTTTGTATATTTAAACGTAAAAGTATAGCATTTAAATGCATTTCTTTGTCGCTACATTTAAACAAAAGTATTTTAATGCGACTTTTAATAATCTTCTGGAAGGATAAAAATTTAATTACGGTTAATGAGTTATTCATGGCCCTGTATTTGTCTGTACTCTGTAATGTATAATAGTCACACTGTAATGCAAATGACTTGCGCAACAGAGCAAAATGACCAGTCTTTCCTCATGCGGGCGAAGCATTTTGCTATGTTGTTTAACTCAGTTGCATTACAGATTGGAGAATTCTATAGGAGATATACAGATCGGCAGTCAGTAAATACATCAATCACATTGTATTCCATGTAAGTTTACATAAAGTCCCCATGTAAAACATTATAGGTTCAGTTAGAATATCACATCTGAATGTTGTTCAACAACAGAATAAATTGCCTTTTTTTCATTTACATAACACACATTTAATTACACCTTGGTATTGTCCGGTTAATGGAAGTTATTATTAACGACTAATTTATCTGCACATGAGCAATGAGTTGTCAAGTCACAGTGGAATGTAAGTTAGTAATGGTGTTGCTCTTTATATCAGTTAAACAGACGTAAATTAAATAGTTTAAGATCAGTTTTAATGTCTTATTGCCATCCCTTCATGGTTTCTATAAACGTTTGTCAAATCGTGATTGAATATTCAGAAAGTTGACAGAAGCGCTTTATTCTTGACGTTTCCGGGTACTCGATTCCGATTCGGGTAAGAACATGCGGGTACTCGATTCCTGTTTTTCCTACCCATTCCTGCCCTAATTCATATATGCTCATTTCTGTCTGGGGCAGTGGGGTAGCCTAATGGTTAAAGCGTTCGTTCATCATGAAGACACGGGTTTGATTCCCACATGGATATAATGTGTCAAGCCCATTTCTGGTGTCCCCCGCCGTATTATTGCTGGAATATTGCAAAAAGCGGCGTAATACCATACTCGCTCACTCATTTCTGTCTTCAAGTCCGACCAAAACTGGTTGTGTAGTGCCAGCCAACTGTTAATATGCAGCGATTAAACATGGCTATACCACTCACAAACAGCAAACTGAGTAAACAGATCCTTGTTTCATGGGCAAGACAACAAAAGCAGGGTGGTTGGGTGTATGAGGTGCACAATGAAATTTTGATTTAAACCCTTAGAACAAACTGTGGTCTCATTTCAATCAGGTGAACAAAACATTCCAGGATATTATCCTTATTCTAAATTCAACGAACACCCCATGGTGTAGACAATAGAATCCTTACCATCCTTGAGATATGTATTTTCCCTACATTTACAGTTGTCAGGGTCGTCCCCTGTGAACCCCCTCTTCTCATCACACCGGCACCGAGTAGGAGATGTTGTATTGTCTAGCACAGACTCTGGACAAACCAAACAGAAATAACTTTACTAGAACAGAAATGACAACTATTTAGCATCAGAAATTCAAACATGTTATATTTGGGATTACCTTTCTCAGTAACGTACAGTAGTGCTGGCAGACTTTTGCAACAATGATTCAACTATAAATGGATAGTTGGTGAGGAGCAGTGCCATTTTAGACTTGTTCTATACAGTGCAAGCTCTCAAAACGGGCAGCCCTCCAATCCGGCACATTCTCAATATCGGCACTAGAATTTGGTCCCGGCAGAAGCTAGTTAATTTTGTATCATTTCCACGCCCTCTAATCCGGCGTCAGTCTATTTGGTATTTCGGCACAACATAGACCGCCCAATTAACTCTTTGTACAATAATTAACACTCTCCGGTATCTCGGCTCTCCTGTTGATTGGCTGAACGTGTATTAACAACACAGTGGATTACCATCGGCATTAAGGTCCTTAATGTTGCCTGATAAAAGGAGTATGGATAAGGATTAGGCAAATTAGTGAGAAACAGTAAATTTGACAAAATTGGACATGATTGGTTTTTGACTGCCCACAGTAAAATCATGCCCATTTCTGGTCCTATTTTGACAGAGAAAGCTGAAAGGCATCAGATGAAGACACGATACCGGATAAGACCCTATCCAAGAATTAATGAAGAAAGAATATGATAACTATCAACACGCTGTTCAGTCGTATTTTACGACACACGAATCATTCTCAGATTGAAAAGGGGAAGTTCTCTAAACCGGCACGCCTTCTAAACCGATATAGTTTTGCCGGTCTCAACGAATGCAGAATGGGAGGGCTTCCACTGTATTTAGACAGTGTTGGAATGGACGACAACCCGAATTTGATGCAGAGAATAATTTAGAACTTTCTAGACTTTTTCTTGGTACATAGGGGAGCAAGTCAGAGGTGCAGATAAGCTGTGTATCAGCGTAAATTACAAATATTTATGTGAAAACTCATTTCCTATTAAGTCTATTGTGTACAAGTACGCTTGATTTTTTTGTAAATACTCAATAAATTTGATCTTGCATGTGTAGACACAAAAGTGTCAAATCTTAGCCTGCATACCGGTGGATAGATAAAGTAACAAAGGTATACTGAGAGGCTCTATTTCAGCACATGAACTTGGCAACTTGTAGTCTTTCTTATCGTTTCTCATATTACAGATCAAATATAGATAACAAACACAAAAACGAACATTTAATCTTTATATTTTTACAATTTAAGGAAAATGGCAAAATACCCAATTGAGTTTCAGTGAGGTGGGTACATTTTATTAGGTTTCCCAGGGCTCCAGATAATTTTTGAACACCAGGAGTACGTATACTCCTTATTTTTTCAATATAGGAGTACTCGAAAACCTTAAACCTACATTTAGAGTACTGAATGGAATTTATTGGCGTATCAGTAGTCTTGTGTTTCGTTTCATATATGCACCACAACATTGCTAGTCTTGTGTAAACAGGTCAATAAACAATAAAACAATACTTTTTCAGATAAATACGTCTGTAAATGATTCTAAGACCGTACACCATTCCCGTGGTGCGTATCTGCTACGCTTTATAAATTATTTCCTACCGTATCGTGCAAATATTTTATCCATACATACGCCAATACTGCCCTTATCTGGAGCCCTGTTACCCAAAGGAAAATTAGGATACTCGATTGAGATGAACACAAGCGAGTACATAACTCAATGACCCAACAAGTTATCCGTAGCTCTGGCAAGTTATTTTCATCTCAATTACATGTCAAGCCACAAGAAGACCAGAATTACTACTACTACTACTACTCTATTTTGCTCTGTTACTGTGATACCTTTGCAAATCACTACAACATAGTTAACTTAAGAATAAAATTGTTAATCACATAGCTTTTAGTGGTGGTCCAATTAATTGAAATAATCGAAGATTGGTCGTAATGACTAAACGACCAAGCAATCAAAGAAGTTTTCTCAAACACAAACAATTTTGGAACACTTGTTTGCATTAACAAAATTTTTGTCAAGGTTAGTTTTGTCTGTCATTAAATTCACATTTAATAAGCACTACTAGCTCATTCCAAGTCATGATTGAATTTATCTTAATGGTTCCACGAAATTTATGATCCTAACATACATCCTTTAAATATGTGAAATTTGAAAATGCATTTTGTGCAATTTGTAAAAACCTAAAGAACTACAAGCTTTTTTTGTTATTTATTTATTTTGTTCATTAATAAAGATAACAGGAATATTTGATGAATTACCGTAACCAATTATTTTCGATGATTGATGGGTTGTAATGGACCAATCATCAATTATAACACTAATAGCTTCGTTGTTTTTCAGTATCACACCGAGTTCTCTTTCAGAGTAATTCCCAGTTAACTACATGTATTTAGGTTCCATATGGGAATCAACACAGATTCTTGTACCTTTTTTTATTAATGATCCCAACCAGGGTAAGTAAGCGAGGCTTACCACCAATTGTTGCCTGTTACGACAAGCCAGGCTTCCCACCAATTGTCGCCTCTTACGACAAGCATGGGTTACTGAAGATCAATTCTCACCTGGACATTCACAGGTGATCACATGAAAATCCTTTTCCACAATTATATACCAGACCTTTATTAGGTTGAGAGCAAGAACTAAGATCTGATATGAATAAGATTAATTCTACTTCAGTTGTCACCACTGTTTGTCCGTATATCTCTTGTAAATGCCAATATTAACAAAACATAAAATAATTCAAAAAAAAAGATCTTAAGATTTACCTTGTGGACAATACAGCTTGTAGCAAGGCAATTCTGTATCTGAGGTTATGTTGTCCAGCTGTGTCATGCCATTGTCACAAAGCTTGCATGTGTCCAAACCACCATCTTCTGAACATGGCTTGATCTCATTCCCTGGACACAACAGAGATTCATTTAAAAAGTACAGGCAAATCTCAGTTATATTGAAACTGACAACTGACTGCATATACTTAAGAAATAGAGTTCGCTTACTGAAATTAATCTAACGCAGCAAGCAAACGGAAAAGCGACGGTGTCTAAATTAATAATCCTCCTTCAGGGTAACTGATGCGCGCTGTTCTGTTGGCACGTCTGCTCCCCTTCCCTCTTCAGGGTGCTTCTGAGTTAGCATGTAGAATGACAACTGACAGGCATCGTGATGTTGGTTACCAAGGGTATATTAGCTGATGACGAGGGCAGAACAGAATGGTGTAATGACATCAATTCAGTGTGATGTAATGCAAAAAGTGTACTTCATCAGGTGATAAAGTACTGTCAGCGCCTTTGAGCTTTTAGTGAATCAATTTAGAATATCTACCATAAATTGACAAGTATTTGACTGATTTCAGTGAAAATATGCACAGTGTGTTTTCTTTCATGTGAATTTGCAATTGATAGTTTGTTCATCCATACCACCCAAAGTAGTAGGAGTAATAGCGGTTTTGGACCAGGTCCAACAAAAAGCCTCTGCAAAAGCCTTATTTCCCAAATAAGGCTTTGGTCGGACCCTTAGCTCTTGCTACCATTACCCCTAATCTTATAAAAATTAGTAAAATGTCCCCGGCAGCCACAATTCCCCAAGGGAGAAATAGAAATGTATTGCGCTTCCTCCCAAGGGGAATTGTGTCTCTCACCGTGCACATCACACAAAGTTGTGACGGCGGGATACGAACCCACATGTACAGCTTGCGCAGACTATACATAATGGGGTCGCACCACTCAACCGACTGAGCTACCGCGGACTTAGCTGAAGTAGGTCGGTTTAACGGGTATTGTATCATGTGATCACACACACACACCCACGCATCATGCTGTTGACACTACGATCAATAGTCCTCTGTCTGGCCCATCAAGTAGTACAAGGTAGGTTCGTCTGATTTTATTTTCACTTTATCTATGTTGTATAGCTCCACGTGCCGCTATGCCACGTTGACCTCGATGAAACAGTTTAATGTGAATCGCCTATGATCTCTTTGGTGTTTGTAATAAAGGCTTGCTGGGCTTTTCGTATCCCCTGTTCTATGTACTTTTTTTTCTCGACCTCGCTGATAACAGACTTACGAGACTTGGATCGAATCTCTTGTTTCATTTTGTCATATTTTGTGAGTTCAGAGAGGATTGAGAGAAACTCCTCCTCTGAGATCTTACTGTCAGTGAGTGCAGTGGAAATACGCTCACTTACCGTGTTCAACTTTGCTTCAGCCAGAACCCTGATCTCATCATGCTTCAATGCTTTACGATGCAGTCTGCGGGATACAAGCTTAAGCACCACCCCCAACACCCCTGTCACCCCAGCTGTTATTTCGAGCCCCATCACTATAGGTGCCGCCACGATGGTAGCTAACAACCCAACACCTGCCACCCCTAATCCCATGCCGGCTGTCATAAGGGTGGTATCAACACCGTCCACGGCATTGAAAGCTCTATAGTACTTCTTATATAGTGCTTTCCGCGTGTCGCGGTCTTGTTCTAGTTGGCGTGTTACATCACATAACTGCCTCAAGCGGAACAGTAGTATATACAATGGGGGTTCTGGACCAGTTCCAACCAAAGCCTCTGCAAAGCCTTATTTCACAAGTAAGGCTTTGGTCGGGCCCTTAGCTCTTGCTACCATTTCCCCTACTATGAAAAAGTTTGGGACGATAGCGGGACCTCCTAGCCGCGCCGGGGGCATGGCTGGAGTGTGTTGGTATCCTGGGATTGCACCATCCAATACTGGGCTGCGTCTAACGTGCCGCTATGTCACGTTTACCTCGATGAAACAGTTTAATGTGAATCGCCTATGATCTCTTTGGTGTTTGTAATAAAGGCTTGCCGGGCTTTTTGTACTCCCTGTTCTATGTACTTTTTTTTATCATCCTCGCTGATAGCAGACTTACGAGACTTGGACCGAATATCTTGTTTCATTTTGTTATATTTTGTGAGTTCAGAGAGGATTGAACTAAACTCCTCCTCTGAGATCTTACTGTCAGTGAGTGCCGTGGAAATACGCCACTTACTGTGTTCAGCTTTGCTTCGGCCAGAACCCTGATTTCATCGTGTTTCAATGCCTTACGATGCAGTCTGCGGGATGCAAACTTAAGCACCAACCCTAACATCCCTGCCACCCCAGCTGTTATTTCGATACCTAGCACTACGGGGGTAGCCACGATGGTAGCTAACAACCCAACACCTGCCGCTCCTAGCCCCATGCTGGTTGCCATAAGGGCAGTATCAGCCCGTCCACGATATTGAAAGCTCTATGGTACTTTTACATAGTGCTTTCCGGCGATGTCAGCGGGTCTTGCTCTAGTTGACGTTTTACATCACATAACTGTCTCAAGCGGAACCCGTCTACGGTTTCCAGGGTCTTCGCTACTTCCTCTACGACTGGGTACAGGCCCATCCTATAATATATATTGCAAAAGATATTTTAATTGGGTTTCATTTAACCTTCGATCAACGTACTTGAGGCTTATAAGGTCTAAATCCTTCTGTAGGAGAATAGGTGAGAATGTAATAGGTAACTCTGCATCCACACGAAACTCATTAAGGTAGGGGGTTATTATCCACCCATGGTAGGGGCTTATTAAGGGGGTTATAGAACCCGTTGAGGGGTCCGGTTGTATGATGATACGGAAACGTTGATACCTGGCCTGGGAACTCCAGTGTACAGTCACCCCGGGTAAAAGTTGTTGTTCTGCAGGATGACTATGGAGACTTCTATGATGAGCGTGGAGCCTGGTGCCATAGATGGAATCCCTGCGTACCCGTAGCAGTCATACCTTAACTCACCCCCGTGGAATGCAGATAACCTATTGGGTGCCGAGCTTAGTGAAATCGTTGTATTAGGGGCCGGAATGAAACACCCGAGCCGGGTACCGCTATTCTTAACTTCAGAGATATCATGATATTCATTTAATGTGATATAAGGTGAGGTGAGTGTTAAGTTGACTAGCCATTCAGGCTCTTTAAGATCTGATAACGGCATCCGCCTATACACGTTGTCTTTGAAGTGTAGGATGTATAAGGTGTCTTCCTCACCAGGCTGATCGAATCCCTCCGTGTCCCCTAGGTCGTTAAGCGTAGTGTTGGGGTGATGACTGGTCATTGCTATAATACTATTACGATATAATTTCCAACTGGTTTTCTGATAATAGTTCAGGGGTGAACTTAATCCCCATGAAGTGTATGTTGCCAGGTAGGAAGATCTTGGTTAGTGATATCGTGTTTTCCACGATCACGGTGACACCCTGCAGACTGGTGTTGGAGCCGACACCCATCCGCACGTAAACTGTGCAAACGTGGTACTGGTGTTGTTTCACCCACCGAGTTTGACCCCCTTCACGATCTCGACATCATTCCCCGATGGTTCCCCTAGGTAGACTTTGATGATCAGTGTTGAGTTCGCCGGTAGACTCTAGTATCCTGACCACGCCTTCAAATTCAGACACCAACTGCAATGTCACGCTTTGCATGCCCGCTTTACTTTCGATAGCATGTGGGCTGCCATACTGGCGACTGGGCTGATGGCTACGCTTCGCCTCTGAGTCGGGCGTAAGCCACGAGCAGGGTTCCGTTGTTAACCACTTTGTTTAGGTGGTTGTCTTTGTTATCCGTGAACACATAGGGGAGCCGAGCCTAATATTGAGAAACCAGTCGCCTTTATCTGGTAACAACACCCACTTGTCATCTTCGGTGAAGACGAAGCGATATGGCTTGTTTCGGGCGACGGTAGTGCTCTCAACATCGTCTAAGTCGAACAGTTTGCCCCGAACGATGGGTATATTATCCAATTATCATTACCGGTGGTGACTAGGTGTACTTAGTGTTGACTACCGCTCTTGAGGTATCTACTATATCACCTAGGGCTCCACCGAGGGGACTTCAACGCGTTTGTAAATGTTGTTTTTCAGTTGCAAGGCGCATATTTTACCATCTACTCCGGGCGCGTCAATCCGCGTGTGTCCCCAGGTCGGAGATCCCCACATTGATACATTTTTCACCCCGGCCCTTGTGCGCTGGTCATTTTATGTGAAGCGTTAAGCTGAGGTATCCTATATTCACGGGATTATGATTTATATCTAACACCGATATTATCAGCTCAGGTATGTTGCCCTGAGTCAACCTCTTATACTGCCGCGGTGAAAACGACTTCGGTTCTACCGTCGTTGTATTTCTCCGTTTTCACCGCACGGCTCTCAGTATAGTGGAAGGGTGACCCCTTGAATGTTGTACGTTGTGCTCACCTGACCTAGATGAATGTACAGCTCTCCGCACGGTACTAGGTCGGGTAACTTCGCGCCTGTGACGGTTGTTGTTGGTTTTATCTCGTCAGGTGACATACCGAGTGTCCTCGCCAATGGCCGGCCGAGCCTCAAGGAGTTTCTTCCGTTGTTGATTAACACCACTGTGCCGCTTTGAGTCGCTCATCTTGAGTTCGGCTTCCAGGGTTTGAAGACCTCATCGCTAGCGAGCACACGCTGTAGTAGCCGTCAGTTATCTGGCTGCGAAGTTCCACTGACTAACAGCTTATTGTTGCTGGCGCTGATGTTAGTCCATTGGCGTAGGTAGGTGATATCGCAGAGTCGCGACTTCGAGGTGACCCGACGTATTATCGATCGCGTCGTCCAGCTGAATGGCCTCACCGCCGCTATTCCTGGAAGTGTTATGTACATGTTAGAGTATATATGCTCATTATATAATAGTTTTAAAATGTATTCCCAAGGAGTGTCTTACTCCCCTGGAGTGTTTTACCCTAAACTGGACATAGATTTCTCACCCATGAAGATCGCGGGTGCTGATGGGATGTATTTTAACGCCCAGCTTTTAGATGTGTTCAGCCTGTATAAATTTTCGGTGACTAACGCTAAGGTAGTTCATGCTTGGTTCAACAACCCGATGCAGTTCTGGCA